TTTAGCCCCATCCGCGTGGCTCATCATTCATCTATCCAAAAATCCAGAACTATCCCAGTGTAGAGTACTCTGTCCACTCTTTCGTATGCTTCATTCGAGTCTCAAGTCATTTTCATAAGAAATTCACTCTCTGAACATTCTGGAAGATTTTCTTTCACTTCTCATTCCTACACCTATTTCCCCTCAAGTTCTCTCTTTGGCAAACTTTGGTGGCACACACCGCACACCACACCGCGGGTTGTGTGGGTTTTGCTTTGTTTTGTTGCTGTTTGTCATGTTTGTTGTGCCCCTCGTTTGCCATCTTCGTCCTCATCTCCTCGCAGTCGCTCCATTTTGCGTGTCGCCATTTTCATTTGGCAAACGTTACAATTCCACCGTTATTGCTGTTGCTGTTGTCGTTGTCGTTGTTCTTGTGAAACGTTACTACTGGCCCACGTCGTCGTCGTCGTCATCATAGTGCTCATTCTCATACTTATTTTCATCCTCGTTCTCTGCTCATCCTGCTGATGGAACGATGGCAAGGCGAAGGCCCAACCGCACCACCACCAACAGCAGCAGCAGCAACAGCAGCAACAGCAGCAACGACAAACATCTTAGTCACTTTCACTTTTCATTACACTTTTCGCTTTCACTTTGTTTCGTTTCGTTTCGCTTCGCTATTTCGCTCTCTTTCTATTCCATTCCATGCCGCACTGACTTTCCTTTATCGTTGTGTGCCTTTGTCATGCGGCGCTTTGCCTGACGTTCTCCGGCCATCCCATTGGAACAAAAATTCACGGGGATTCGCCCGCCCCGTTGCCCTGCGTTGGATACCCTTTCAGAGGGTATTAGCAGCATGCGAATAACATACAAATATGCAGATAAGCCTACGGCTTCAGCGTTTCCACTGTGCAAAAGGTTAATCGATTCGGCAATCGATTGCTTCGCTTCAGCCCCGTCTCTGGCTCTGAGAGGCGGCTCTGCCAGTGAGAGTAGCGATCCTCTGACCATCACCTGAGACGGAAGTGATGCATTCTTAGGTCTTGCCCAGATCTTGGCCTCTTCTGCTGCTCTGCTGCTTTTCTGATGGTCATCGGATGGGCAGTGCATCCCCCTGTAGCTAGCAGCGAGATCAATCAATATAACAGATCAATTCGCATTTATTTTTGGCTTTGTTTTTCAGTGAAAACTCCTCAGAAGATTATAGGCTCAGAATATTATTATTCTCGAATTTAAATTTGTATTCAAAGTATTTAAATTACATTATGCCCACACACAAGTGCTTAACGAGGGACTTCTTTGCCCCTCTAATCCCCACAGCCAGCCACTGTCGATGTGTGCCAGTAAATCTCTTGGCCATAATTGAAATAATCCTTCAACAGTGCTCACCGTGAAAGCAAAAGCAAAAAGCAAAAAGCTTTTGCTGCCTCAATTGAAGAGCAGTGCAAAGAGTGGCGGGAATATTAACTAAACTCTGGCGTGTGCTTAAAATTATCCTATAGAAATGATGGATGGGATTGCGACTGCGATGGCAAAAGGGGAAATTGCAGAGCATTCAATGGGGCAGACAGAAAATAGGTACGCCTGCCTTACTCTCTCCCTCTCCAACTTACTGTTCTCGCTTTCCCTGTGACTGGCAGGAAAATATCAAGAAAATAATTGCTAAACATTTAGGTTGAAATAAATTGCCAGTTTTATTTACGTGGCACGCTGCACATGCAATTGCCAGGAAGTCAAACCACTCACCCACACATGGTGGAGCTGCCCTGCCCTCGCGTGCCTTGGGGCAGCTCTCTCTCTCGCTCACTGCCAGCTGCCAGCTGCCTGCCCGCTCCCTGCCCCGTTAGTTGTTTTGCATAATTAATGCCATCATGGGCAGAGGTAATTGCATCTAAGCCATTGCCCACGTCGTTGTCCTGCCGCAATGTGGCCATAGTGACGATATCAGCCCTAAGACCGCATTAAACCAGGCACCGCCCATCACCACCCACCACTTTGCTGCCCAAACCCAAACCCAAGCCATTGGCCATGCATCCATGCCCCAACACCCGTTCTTTGGCCAGTGGCGGCGTCGACGTTGCGTCAACATCAGGTGCAAACTCGTGGGCCCTGACACTGGCAATTGATTTTGATTTTGATTTTGCGTCGGACTCATTGCTGGAGCACAAAGTGCAACGGCCAGAGGCAGGGCAAGAGACGATGGGGGGGATGTGCACAGGTTGAAATTAATTTTAAATATTTAAAGAGCAGCCCGGGCGGGGCAGCGTTTAAGCAGACATTAAGCTAATAAAACTCCAAGGACGCGCCAGCTATACGCCCCCCACCACCGAAATGCATATGCGAGTGCTGAGGCCCGTAGTCGTGGTGGTCGGAGTTGGAGCTGGAGCTGGAGTAGATAGCAGATCCGTTCCTCGTGCTGTTAACTTAATTATGCAGCTGGCGGCTCTAGGACCCAGGATGTGTCTCTATGGCTGGGTGCGTGGCATCGTTCCGCAAGGAGAGAAATTTATGAAATTTTTATGAGTCGCACTTGACATTGCTGGCAGACAAAAAGAAGACATCAGGCCGAACTCTGTGTGTGTGCGAGTACATATATCCTGAACGTATGATCCCGCTGACAGAGAGAGAGTGAGAGTGGATGGTGTTGAAGGGGCGCCCTGTAAATCAAAGGAACGGCAATCCCAATCCTTTCACAGGCTGTCAGAGTCTGCTTAAGCAAAGCTAAAGCATCAAATTTCAAGGCTTTGGCACAGCCAAAAATACCCAACATGACAGGACAGGATCCATAGAACAGAACAGGACAGGACAGGACTAAAGACCAAAAACACATCAGTTCCCCACACCCAAACAGACAGACAGACAGACAGAGAGAGAGAGGAGCAAAGTCACGACAAGCAACAAACTAGGAATAGGAACTGGGGCTGGGACTGGGACTGGGACTGGAGGGGGCTGAACAGCCAACGGATTTGAGGCGACAGATTGATGTTGATGCGAAGAGCAGCTACAAAGATGGATGAAGTGGCAGAGTGATGGCTATGGCTGTGGCAGCCCATCCTCCACTCCGATCTGCCACCCACCAGAGGCCACCCATAAATGTCAAGCAATGAAAATGTTTGCCCAGATAGCCGTGCTCGTGTCGGGCATAGCCCGTAAAGAAAATGCTGCTCCATTTTGCTGCTGTCGGTGCTGCTGTTATACCTTGTTAGCTCTTGTGTAGATTTTGGCTGTGCAGCTCTCAGGCTGCCCCGTCACCCTCCCCCCTCCCTACCCACCATCAGCTGGCTCCATCTTAATGCCAAGCGAAGCGTGCGCCGCACACGAACGCTCCTCCTGCACCTGCCCCCATTCGTTTTTGTGGCATTCCAGAAAACGAAAACATATTTTCCATGCGACTGCACAAAGCGTTGCGGGACGCACAACAACGCTCACATGCGGATATCTCCATCTACGGACGGAGCGAAGCTCTGCTCACTTTTGGGGATAACCATACAACAGCCCCCCACCCAGCAGCCACCCAGCAGCCACCCAGTAGCCACCCAGCAGCCACACAGCCACCCAGCCACCCAGCCACGCTGAATGTGTGTGTTGTGCCTGGTGCCTTGTGCCTTGTGCCTTGTGCCTTGTGCCTTGTGGGTATTTTTTCTATGGTGTTTTCCCTAGGTTTTCATTCTGTTTTTGTTGTTGTTTGTTTGTTCGTTTTGGTCGTACTTTTGGTGCTTTTTTCCCCAACTCTGCGTTGTTGTTGTTGCTGTTAATCCTTTTCGAAATTTTTAGTTTGATTGTTGAGAAAATATTTTAAGCCCCAGGCAAACACACATATTACACACCGCACGCATTAGCATAACGCGGGGAGGGTGGTGGCGGGGGGCATGGGAATGGAATACTCGCATGGGTACGTCGTGTTGCAGAGGGGAATGAAATGGTGGTAGCGGGACTGCTGGATCGGAATGGAATGCAATGGAGTACAGTGGGTGAGCCCCGCAGGGGGGGAATGCGCCATAGAGAGCTGTTCTAGCTTTAAGGCGATTTAATGTGAGGCTATTTTGGGTCCACATACGATCCAAACATATTTCCTGAAGCGGCAACTTGGCATCCACTCACAGTCCACATACCATCCACGCAGCATCCACGCCAGCCTCTCTGGCAAATTATACGCACATTTCTGTTGCTTGCCACTTGGGATCCACTCACAGTCCACACACGTTCCACACTATTATACCCCAGTCGATTTAACACTAGCATCAGTGACATACTCCTAGAGGAAATAACCTATTTCTGTCAGAGTCCATATAAGTTACACATAGGTTCCACATATGTTCCATATAGCATGTGTTCAACATCGATTCCACATCGATTCCAAATAGGTTTACATAGGCTCCACATATGCTCCACATAGGTTCCACATTAGAAATACATGTATTATGCCTTTTATTAAGTTCCACACCATGAAAGAGCCTCAACGCTTCTTAATTGGCATACCACCGGCAGGAAAAAGAACTTCCTCCCCTGCGAATTAAGCAAATTAAGTCCGATAAATGGTTGGCCATTGCAATTGCGCGCCGACAATGGAGGCAAGCCGTCAGCAAACGCTCTCAATGACATTGATTGGCTGCCGTTGCCGTTGCCACTGCCACTGCCACGTGGGCTGGGGGGACTCGTGTTTCGCATTCCGTTTTGGTCAGGACAATTAAATATTTGCCTGTCTTATAACTGGCGCATGTTTCTGTACAGCTTGTCCTGCCAATACGACCCTCGCCCATACGACCCAAGCCCATGCTCATGCCAGGGCGTGGGCAGGGGCAGAGGCATGGGCAGGCAGCAGTCGCGACAGAACTCGTTACTGTCACGGCCTGGTGCCGCTCGGACATGACAAAGGTTGACATTGTGCCTGCATTTATTAAAACAACTGCCATCAGGAGGCGTAACATGGCCCCCAATGCTCCCCCCAACTCTGACGCCCACTCCAGCCCACTCTCTGTCTCTTACTCACTCTCTCTGTCTGTCTCTCTCTCTGGTTACAGTTTATTGGCAACAATAATGGTCAGCACAACATTGACAACATTGGCTGCTGGACAAACAACTAGTAGCAATAATCATCATCACCACCACCATCATCACCACCAGCAGCAGCAGCAGCAGCAACAGCAGCAACATCAGCAACTGCAACAGCAGCAGCAACAGCAACAGTTGCCCTACGAGCGACTGCCGCCACACGCCACAGCTTCCACAGGGGGGCCAGCAGGATCACTTGCAGCAGCAACCGCCAGCAACCAGTCGCGCAGCTTCTATGCGCTGAACGGTCTGGAGCACGACTGCGACGGCAACAGCAGCAGCAGCTATCCACAGCAGCAACAGCAGCAGCCCTCTCCTTCGATCAACGATCAGATCAGCCTGCTCTTCCCAAAGTGCCGGCCCAAGCAGCAGCTGCATCATCATCCACAGCAGCATCATCATTCACAGCTGCAGCAACAGCAGCAGCAGCAGCAGCAGCAGCAGCAGCGACATGAGCTCCACACGGATGTAAATCTTAACAGAAGCAGCAGCCCCACCACTGTAGCAGTCACTACGACCACGGATCCCGCTGCCACGCCCACCAGCACCACGCCCAGCTACTACAAGAGCGTGAACATCATAACACAGTCGCCGCCGCCGCACTCGGCCTCGTCACACTCCTCGGAGTCGCTCTCCTCGGTGACGCCGCGCATATCCACAAATCCGTTCCTGTGCGCCCCACTGACGCCGCCCACACCGCCGCCACCGCCGCTGCTGCACAGCTCCGCTGCACTTCCAGTCGAGGGCGAGCCAGAGGGATCGCACGCATCCAAGGACGGAGGATCTGGCGTTGCTGCTGGTGGAGCGCGTGCCGGAGCTGAAGAGGAGGAGGAAGTAGACGAGACCGTACTGGCGGCAGGCTATCCGGCCTCATTCTACTACCACACGGGCGACAGCAGACGGGGCCAGAGCACCAACTACCCCGAGATGCCGCGCAAACGGAGCACAGGCCTGCCCACCAGCGCCAGTGCCAGCGCCATCAGCAGCAGCAGCAGGCAGCAGCCACTGCACAACGGCGGCGGCAGCAACGTGAACGGAACTGCCAGCAATGGCAATACCCCGAATATCCAGGCACAGAGCCAGAGCCAGAGCCAGAATCCCTTCATCAAGGAGAACTACTGGGATGCAGCTCCCATGCGTGCCAGCTCCCTGCTGCACTCTCCCACGGAATACGCTGAGGAGCAGCAGCAGCAGCATCAACAGCAGCAACATCTTCAAGCCTCTGCCCGGCGGGCATACCACCAACAGCGGGAGCAGATGGCCACACAGCTGTACGGCTTGGCCCAGCGACAGGCAACGCAGCAGCAGCCGCCAGCGCACATCCTACGGGTTGGACGGAGCCCGATCAGCCGCAGCTACACGGTACCCCAGCAGCAGCAGCAACAGCCGCAGCAGCCGCAGCAATCCGTAAACAATGCCTGTGCGGACGGACTGACCCCACTGGCCAGCCACTATCTGTACGGTAGCAAATCCTCGCTGGACCAGCATGGGGCCGGCGACTGGGAGCCGCGGGAGCAGCGCAAACTGAGGATGCGCGAGGAGCGAGAGCGGGAAAGGGAGCACCTGTTGCTGGAGCAGGAGGTGCAGGCGGCACGGGAAAACCACATGACCCACTTGGCGGGGCAGCAGCAGCAGCAGCGCAAGCGACATGGACACGGCGAGGAGAGGGAACGTGAAAGGGAAAGGGAACGCGATCATCGTCTGGTGAATGGCAGCGCCACAGGCAATGAGGCATTGTACGGATCGGCAGATCCCGGCGAGAGCTGGCAGCGTAAGTATTAAGCCACATAGTATTCAGTGGGCAGACAGACTCCGCTGGAGTAGGTGAAGGTGTATGGGTCCAGTCCGCCGTACTCTGGGCCACCACATTTGCCGCCTGAAGAGCTCTCAGGCAGAGAGCGGTTGAGTGCCCAATGTCCGATGCCGGAGGCCATGCTCTCAACCATTTTAGGGCAGCATGTGAATCGCTTCCGACTGGCTGAATAGCCAGAGCCATTGATGTTCGGGGTCCGTGTTCGGGGTCCGGGTAATTGAATTGCAAATCAAGCGTAATGAAGTGTACGGCAAACATGAACAAATGGAGCACAAATGGTCAAAGGGGGAACGGGACCGGGACACGGGACAAAGCAGAGCAGTAGGAAATGCTCCAAAGTGGAATTTAATTGATTGCAATTAATTGGAATGCCAAGCAAGCGGGCTGATATCTGTTCTGCCCCACCACCGTGGTGGGTGTTGGGGAGGGCACCACCTCAATCATTACTCATCCATTAGCATTGCCAATTGCCACTTTCCATTACCATTGCCCGATTCGTCGCCCCCTCACCTCATAGCCACTCAGCCACTCAGCCACTCATGCGGTTTGTGCCTTGCAGATCTGCGTGTGACGACCGAAGCGAATGTGAGCGAGGAGGGCTGCAAGCATGCCAGCAAGCTCATTGAGAAGACCCTGACGATGCCACAGTCGCAGTTGCAGCTGCAACTGCAGTCCGGCCTGAGGAGCCTTGAGGAGGCGGCCCTGTATCGGGAGCACAAGCTGGATGCCTGGCAACTGGAGCGCAACTACACGCTGGCCGTGGAGTCGCGTCACGGCATTATAGGTGCGACAGCAAGCACGGCACGACTCTCTCACTCCCATTCTAATATGATTTGTCTCTGCCCCCCCTCCCAAATAGAATACGAGGGCTCTCCACGTCGCATTGGTGGCTGGGGTGCAGTGACTGCAGCAGCAGCGGCCTCAGCCTCAGCAGCGGACGAAAGCGAACCACCAGCAGCAGCAACAGCAACAGCAGCAGCAACAGCAGCAGCAGCAGCAGCAACAGCAGCAACGCAGCAACAGCAGCAGCACCGCAGCAGGCTCACTCACAGCTTCCCATGGCCGCTGTGCCACCGTTGAGCTCAACAGCCAGCACGCTGCAAAAGACAGCGGCCCGGGCAGCCCTTGCCGCTCTGGCCCAGACCCAGACACAGACCCAGACCCAGAATCACATTCAGAATCACTCGCAGGCACCGCAGCCATTGCAGGCCTATCCCGTGCGCCCGGGTTTCCCACAGGTATGCCCATGCCCCCTTCCGGCTTTTTTTACTTAACATTTGAGTCAAACCTTTGCCTCTTGCAGCGCATCCTTTCGCCGCCTCATCGCGAGCCACGCAGCTGCTCCCCACAGCCGCCGCAGCATGTGGCACCACAGCACAACACGAACACGAGCATGATGAGCAACCACAGCAACAACAAACTTCAACTGCAACAGCCGGTGGGCAGCGACACCAATGCGGAGGACACCAGCAACGATGTGTCCGAAATTGGCACCATATCCGATCTGACCACGCCGGAAGCGGTGGCCCTGGCCCTGGCCAATGAGGCCCTGGCAGTCAGCAGATCGGCAACGGCCACGCCACCAATGCACACAGCAGCCACAGCACCACCGACAGCCTGCTGCTCAACAACAGCAGCAGCAGCAGCAGGAGGAGCAGCAGGAGCTGGAGTAGGACTTGGTGTGGGTGTGGGTGTGGGTGTTGGACCACTGAGTCTACACACAAAATCATCGACATTTGATTACCTCTACGAGTTCTCGGAGACGCGCAAAGTGCTAGAGGAGTTCTTCAAGTGCCCCTCGACCGACGAGCAGCCCATCATGGAGAACGGCAGCGATGTGGACAGCATTGTGAGTACTCCTCAGGGCTGCACTCAAGCAACTGCCTGTCCCAGTCCTGCCACAGTCCTGTACCTGTCCTGTACTTTTGTATAAGTAAACTGCGATCTCTACTTCACTCTCTACAACTTGTTCAGCCCCCCACCCCAATTGAGTTTGCGTTAAATTCTAGAGTTTGAAATTTGAAAAATGCCCCGCGTGCCGTACACTTGGCGCCAGCCGGACTTCCCTGGCGATGGCAGCGATCTGGCCTGGCTGCAGCCCACGCTGCTCATCATTTGCCCCAAGGCCAATCTGGAGAAGGCCATAGAGCCGCTGCTGCGCACCCTCAAGCAGCCGCTCGCGCCCCGCACTGTGGCGGCCGTCTGCGTGCACGAGACGATGCGCTCGGCCTTCCAGGAGAAGGTCTGCCAGTCGCTGGAAATGCTGCACACCCAGGTGCAGAGCCACGACTACTATGCGCGGGCACTGCGCACCATTGGCTGTCTGCGCGCGGAGACGGTGGGCCTGCAGCAGACCGACAAGATTGGCTTCCAGAGCAAGCTGGCCCGCGGCTCGCCGGTGCTCGTGTGCGGCTTCGATCAGAGCTTCTTTAGCATGAAGCATCCCAGCACTGTGGTGACGCTGCACACCTTTCGGCATGCCCTCGAGCTGCCCCAGGTGGTGGCCAGGGAGCGGCTGAGCTTCGCCAGTGCGGCCATCTGGGGCGGCAAGATGTGCGACATCTACGAGGTGGCCCTCCAGCTGCCGGTCATCCGGACGGTGTACCTCAACTGCCATGCGGTGCCGCTGGCGCCCATCGAGCAGTACTTCGCGGCCCGCCAGCCGCACGTCGTCATGGCCAATCACCATCACTTCGAGGTGCTGCTGCACGAGGAGCGCGCCTGGATCATTGTCTATCCGGCCAGGGTCGAGTGGCATCCGTCCATCAAGCCGCGTACCACAATGTCGTTCACAGAGCCGCCGCTGATTCTGAAGGGGAAGGACGTTCGCATGCCCCAACCTTGATCCCCCAATATTATTTGTCCCCCGACTTGGGAGAATAAATTCCGTTTACCCGAATCTGTAAGTTGATCTTTTATGTGTCTTGCCCTCCGCAGGACATCCAGTACGAGTTCCACAGCAACTTTGAGCGCGACGAGGAGGAGCTGGTCGAGGAGGAGGATGAGGACGAGGATGACGACGGCGATGGCGACGATGAGGAGAACGATGAGGCAGAGGACGAGGACGAAGCCGTTGCGCAGGACCCGGAGCATGACGAGGACTATCAGCAGCAGCCAGGCCCCTGCTCAGATCTGACCAGAGAGGCGGAGCGTCATGTCTACGGCGGATACGCTCAGCCGCAGCTGCAGATGCAGTTGCAGTTGCAGCTGCAGAGGTCAGCCCATGCCCGTGGGCGTGGGCGTGGCACGTAGGCCCAACTACAGCAGCGGCAGCCCACTGATGCGGGACTTTGACTTCTTCCTCGACTCCGCCAGCCGAAGCAGCGGCGAGCGGGACGGCGAACAGGATGGCCTCAATCACAACCAACTGCTGAGCACCGGCAGCGGCAGTGGGCTCGGCCAGAGCGTGGGCGGGGGCGGGGGCGTGGGCGTGGGCCCTGCCGGTGGCCACAACTACCGCTACTCGCCGGAGACCACCGACTACGACTCCAACTGTGGCGATCTGGACAGTGAGTAGAGCTTACAGCAGTCGCCATGTGGGCTGGGCGATTCCATACCTCTCTCTCTCTCTGTTCTCTCTGTTCGATTTTCAGGTCTCTCTGGGGAGATGAACGGCGGCGGCGTGTCCACCTCGTGCTCGAACTACGCCAAGTACTATGCCTCGGCCATGCCCGTGCTGGAGGATGGCCTCTCCTCGGGCCACACCAGCGACACCGAGAACAACAACAACAAGAATCTGCAGCTGGCCGGCGTGCAGGGGGGTCAGGGTCAGGTACAGGGACAGCAGTGCCCCAACAGCCTGAGTGCCAGCACCAGCATCGGTGGCAGCGGCGGCATCTCCATGCTGATGGACATGAAGCGCCTGTCCACCAACAACAGCCTCAATAGCATGCACAACCTGACCACCGCCTCCACCACGGACAGCAATGGCGGCCAGGGGGGCCAGGGGGGCCACCCCGTCAGCAGTCCCAGTCCCAGCAACGGCCATGCCAAGCAGCCACCGCCCATGCCACAGCCCCGGGAGCTGCTCGGCCAGAGTCCCAGCCAGACGCAGAGCCACAGCCAGAACAAAGTGTTCAAGAACATCGATCCCGACCTGGACTCGCTCTATTCGATCAGTAAGTGTGACCACTCCACACCACACCACCCCACCCCATAGATGGCTCTACTACTAATTTTGTTTGTATCTTTTTGCTGCAGGTGTTTTCCATCGGCCGGACACGGTGCAGATGACGCCGCCGCCACCGGCTCCGGCGCCGCATCGCAAGCCCAATAGCAGCAGCGCCGCAGACATTGATCTGCTGCAGCCGAGCAGCAAGCACACGCCCCTGGCGGCGGCCATCAGCTCCACGCTGCAGCGCAGCTCGCCCACCACCCCATCTGGGACTGGGACTGGGACTGGGTCTGGGCCCAGTAAGCCGAGAAGTGCGGCTAGCAACGGCAGCAGCAGCAATGGCAATGCCAATGGCAACGGAGTACCACCGCCAATTCCGGAAAGAAGCAGCCTCATTCCGGCACAACAGCAGCAACAGCGATCACCTTCGCCGGTGATTAGCTCACCCGTGTGGCTGTCCCGGCACCTGGACGGTGGTGTTGGCAAGGGGCTGCTCGAGTCCGGCTCGGACAACCACTCGAAGAATCACAGTGCGGACGAGGACGATGTGGACACCGATCTGGAGACGGACCGGCTGCTGGGACACCAGCGGCTGGACGATCAGGGCTACTACGACGAGAACAAGAGCTGGGACCGCAAGCCGCGCTCCTCGCTGCTCTCCAAGATCTCGCCCAAACAGCAGATGCCCAGCACGAAGACGCGCAACGGCTACAATGCGCTGCTGAGCTCCACGCCGGAGCTGCTGCCGCCGCCGCCCATACCCCCAAAGAGCTCCACCGGCAGCGGCGGCAAGCTGCTCGACCTTGTCGGTGGCATGGTCCAGCGCAGCATATCACGCAGCTCCTCGGAGCACAGCGAGAAATCGCCCAGCAAGTTGCAGGCACAGCAGCAGCAGCAACAGCTGCAGCAGTCTGGCTCAATCGGCGACCCTGTGGATGTGGTGGCCTCGGCCGTGGGGGCTGCCTCAGTGGCTGCAGCGGTGGCAACGGCACCGCCCATGGAAAGACCCGGCAATGGGGGGCGGTGGGGTGGAGGATCTGAACGTTCCGTCAACGGTGGCGCTGGCATCATCAAGCTGGAGGCGGAGAACGGCGGCAGCCTCAATGGAGGCATCACCATCAGCAGCGCGGCAGTGACCGGAGGCGGAGTAACCGGAGGAGGCAGCAATGTGGCCGCCAATCCGGGCGCCGTCACCACAACAGTCAATGCGGGCAGCAACAACAGCAGCGGCAGCGGCGCCGGCAGCAACAGCAACAGCGGCTGCGGGCGGCAGCGGCGAGAAAAAAGTGAAAAAGAGTAAGAGCAAAGAAGGTAAATGCGTTGGGTGTACGTTTATGCCCATCGTTTGAACTGTTCCGCATTCCACGTACCATATATAACCATGCCCATAACCATAGCCACGTACTAGCAACTATATTGTTTGGTATCCCATTGTATATCCACTATGTGCCACACTGTGTGCGCTGTACAGTGTACACCAGTTGTGTAATCTGAGATCTGTTGTCTGTGGTTCGTTGATGTTGTTATGCTGAACAAATTCAAGAAAGTAAGCGATCATCAAGCGGCCCTGCCGCTGATTTAAATACCCCTGCAGAGAGTTGCCTGCAGAACCAAAAAGCCAAAAGCTGCGAACATTTATCCGATAGCGAAGCATACTCTTTGGCTGCTTTTCATGCTCGTAGTTGTCCGATTTTAGCAAGAATTTCCTTGGCTGGAATAGTGAAAATTATAAACCCAAAATGGCTTGGGCAGAGGCTGCCTTTTATGTCCATCTTTGGTAAAAGAATGCTGGAAGAACGAAGGAATTGTGTCATGTTTTTCCGCATGGATTTTCAAGATCCACTGCGATCCACTTAATTCAGTTTTTGAGTGCAGGCAAAAGACTGCTAAAATGCAGCACTTAATACTCTTTGAAGACTAGTTATTGGCATAGAAATTGTCTGCCTGCTGGTCCAGGCTTTCGGCTTAAGGCTTTCGGTGCTCACCCCCTGCAGGGGTATTTTTGCCAACGAATTGAAGTAACTCATTCGATATTCGCAGCCCAACGTACACCATTGTAAATCGTAATATTTAATTGATAAACTATATGAATATTAATCTATATATATATATACTTATATATTTATATATAATTTCTCTGTACTCTTTTTTTGTCGCATATTTATTTGCGTATTTTTTGCATGCGTCGTTCGTTCGTTCGTTCGTTCTACCAAAACCAAAACCAAAACAAAAAAAAAACCAAAACTCAACTCTTCATTTTACTGTGTCTGTGTGTGTGTACAATACTTTGTAAGATACAATTTCATTATGTAATAGCAACTAAGTTCCAACACTAACAAGAAAACACAAAACAAAAACCAAAACCAAAACAAATACAAAAGGGGCGAAACTCAGAGGTGGCACGGCACTCAATATCCGATTTACTCAGTGATCTAAATCAACGAATATAAATATATTTTGTAGGATTTAAACATTAGAATTGTGTCCGATTGATATTAAAACTGACAGTTTCGTAGCTGATGACTGCGACTTACTGACAGCAGCACAAGATATCCGGACCCTCGCAGCATTACTTTACTTATGACATAATTTTCAAATAAATAAACTAGTTGGAGAAGTCAGTATACAACACTTTGGGCACATAATATAGCTGCTGGGTATTCAATGGGATTCTAAGAGTGTCAAATAAAATGGGGATTAAGTTACTCCACCATCACTCCACACTTCACACTCCACACTCCAAGCACATACACTAACCAACGTATACTCAACATGTACTCTGATAATGCCTGATATGCATTGGAGCCCAAATGCTAATCGGATTATCTGTCTTGTAGGCGGCGCAGTGCTCATCGAGGGCGTGCTCTTCAGGGCCAAGTACTTGGGCTCCACGCAGCTGGTCTGCGAGGGTCAGCCCACAAAGTCGACGCGCATGATGCAGGCCGAGGAGGCCGTCTCCCGTATCAAGGTAATGTTCTCAACACCCAAAATCCAACTCCAAACTCCTTCGATTGCTCTTTTCTCCATTGGGTGTTTTCTTTTTCTTTTTAATTTTCATTAAATGCCACAGAGCAGTGCCAGAGGGTGGCCCAAGTGGTTTTAAGACTCCCCTATCAGCCAAAACATTTTGTGGGTATTCTTGCAGATCTATTAATATATCAGGACTTTTAGAACAATTCAATATAATTTTAATCTATTAATGTCATTAGCTTTAGCTAAAGTCAAATTTTAATGTAATTCATTTTCAATTCCCTCGAGTCTTCGATTCCAAATTGTTTAGAAATATTTATCGAAAAAAACCAAATTAAAAAAACTCTGCAATATGCCCACCGGCTGGAAACTCTCTCGACTCTCTGGCCCCGCTGCTGTCCCACCCAGCCCATGGCCTAATGCATTTTGTTCTAAATTTTCAGCTACTTTTGATATCCAACCGATCCTAATTTTTAATTTGATACCCGAACCCCCCCTGTCACCACTACCGCCCAAACCATTTCTGCCAATGAATACTGAGAAAGAGAAGCGCCATTAACTCTTTACTATATATATATATATTTTTTCATGCATTCACCTCCTCCACATCAACTGCTCCGCATCTGCGACGATCAACCACCACGCTAAACCAATCCACGTATCGCCATGCAAAAAAACCAAATAAATAAAAAAAAAAAATAAAAAAAAATAAACACAACAAAATATAAAAAAAAAAAAATAAAACCAATTCGCATATTCCACAATAGGCCCTGGTAAGTAACTGAAACACTAGAACACAGCCACCCACCTGTATGCCCAACAACCCCACCCCACCACCTCTGCAGTGTGGCCGAATGACAAGATAGTATTTAAATACTTGGTCACACTGTCGTCCGTCACACCTATCCCCTGATCGGCTCCGGATTTGCCTGATTTGCCTTTAATTAAATTGAATTGAAAATACATTTGCCCCGCTGTACATTTTTTGTGTTTCCCGAAAGAGATGCTTGCCCACCCACCAGCCAAACAGCCAAACAGCCAACAGCCCTGCCAATAAACCCACACACGAGTCCCGCCCTTCCTTACCCATTTTATGAGCTGCGATCAGCCAACTAATTCGATCCACACAACCGTTTTCAGGCACCCGATGGCGATGTTCAGCCCAGCACCGAAGTGGATCTGTTTATATCAACTGAAAAGATAATGGTGCTGAACACCGACTTGAAGGAGATCATGATGGATCATGCGCTGCGCACAATCTCCTATATAGCGGACATTGGGGATCTGGTGGTGCTGATGGCTCGACGCCGCTTTGTGCCGCAGGACATTGACGACGCACCCAAGCCAAATCGTACGCCCAAGATGATCTGTCATGTGTTCGAGAGCGATGAGGCGCAGTTCATTGCCCAGTCGATTGGGCAGGCGTTCCAGGTGGCCTACATGGAGTTCCTCAAGGCCAATGGCATCGAAGACCATCGATTCGTCAAGGAGATGGACTACCAGGAGGTGCTCAATAGCCAGGAGATCTTCGGCGATGAGCTTGAGATCTTTGCCAAAAAGGAGCTGCAAAAGGAGGTCGTTGTGCCCAAGGCCAAGGGCGAGATTCTCGGCGTGGTCATTGTCGAGAGCGGTTGGGGTTCCATGCTGCCCACCGTCGTCATTGCCAATCTGATGAGCTCCGGTGCGGCGGCCCGCTGCGGCCAGCTGAATATCGGTGATCAGCTGATCGCCATCAATGGACTGAGCCTCGTCGGCCTGCCGCTCTCCACCTGCCAGACGTACATAAAGAACACCAAAAACCAGACCGTCGTCAAGTTTACAGTGGTGCCCTGCGCCCCCGTTGTCGAGGTGAAGATCAAGCGGCCAGAGACCAAATATCAGCTGGGATTCAGTGTTCAGAACGGTGTGGTAAGTCCACGATCACACAGAGAGATATTGCGGATCATGCCCAAGTCTGGCTATATACAAACATATATTCGCATGCTTTTAATTGCAGATTTGCAGTCTGTTGCGCGGTGGCATAGCCGAACGGGGCGGTGTCCGTGTTGGTCATCGCATCATTGAGATCAACAACCAGAGCGTGGTGGCAGTGCCCCACGAGAAGATCGTTAACTTGCTCGCCACTTCAGTGGGGGAGGTAAGTGCCCATGACTGTGACTATGACTAAGGGGAATACTCACTACGATTCCCATTCCCCACAGATACTCATGAAGACGATGCCCACATCCATGTTCCGCCTGCTCACCGGCCAGGAGAATCCCATATATATTTAAGCACTGGGCTGATCGATAGATCGATGATATTGTTAACTACAAAAACCATATGAAAGATATTATGATATATATATATATAGAATGTGTATGCTTGCATATAGAGTATACATATATGTGTATAGGGTTTAGGAAGATATGATTTAGCTTACCTATATACATACATATATATCTACATATATAATATATTGATTTTTTTTTTTTTGTTAATAAACTAAATAAAAATGTCGATCGGGGCGACAGCAACAGCAGGGGTAAGCAACAAGCGACAAAGACAAAGACAACACCACATGGCACGCCTTTTTGCAAAAAAAAAAAAAAAAGAAGAAGCTTAGTAATAATAATAGTCAACAATAAAATGTGGCCCCGATCGATGGAGTGGCTAAAACGTACATCCATAGTGCATACGTATAACTACTATACATATACATACAACCTACTCGTATATATATGAACACGATGACCTTTTTGCGAAAACGTCCTTAGCTTAGTTGAACAGCGACAACATTATAGAAAAGATTCGAACAGAGTCGAAAAGATTCGAACAGAGTCAAACAGATCCGAACAGATTCGCACAGTGTCGAACAGATTCGAATACAGATTCGAACAGATCCGAACAGATTCGAACAGATTCGAACAGATTCGAACAGATTCGAACAGATCCGAACAGATCCGAACAGAACAGAACAGCGAGTACTGCAGTTAGCCACCGTTATACCCAGCCCAATCCCACTACTGGGGCACTCCCCGGGCATATCCCCCTTCCTTACTTACATACAGATATAAAGAACCACACTGAAAAGCACAAGGCAACAGAAAAAGAGCGAAAAGCAGAGCAGAGAACCTTCAAGCTAGTCAGGCCCCCCCCCCTGGCTGCTCTTCTGATATATGCTCGTATATGGTATATATATACTCGAATATATGCGTATAACCCGCACACTATATAGCACCGTCATATGTATGTATATTTATATATGTATACAAATATATACAAACAGAGAGAGAGAGAGAGAGGAAGATAGTGGGAGTTGAAAGAGAGACGGCGAGAGAGATACTCGTGGACACGGAGAAAATGGAGATTGTAACTAACGCGTTTCCTTTTCTATTCGAACATATAGCCGAGAATTTTGATAGTTATAGAAAGCATATACTTATAGCCAGATCATAATGTATGTAACATATAAAACTGAAGAGCGCTTCATCCACATCCGAAAAAACTAAAAACAAAAAAAAAAACACCTAAAGCAGCAAAAACCGACACTCCACCACCTACATACATACATACATAAATATATATTTAGTGGATTTAGTTAGCAGGATAGTCTCCAAACACAGACACACTCACTCACTCACTCACTTAGACGCTTCGATTTCAAACCATCTTCGTCCAAAAATTGTGCTACTACTCGTTAAACAAGTTGATATATATAGAAAGGGGAAACAGAGAGGGAAACAGATAGAGAAAGATAGAGAAGGAGAGAGAGGGAGAGAGGGACATAGATCCCAAGGAGAGTTAGAGCTAGAAAGACATAGGGAGAGTTAACCCATAGCAGACATAAACGCCAGAAAGATATAGAAAGAGAATAGTATAGAAAGAGGAATACCTAGAAAGATTCAAGGATTCAAAAGAAGCCCAGGCATGAATACAGCGTACATCTAGACTCGCATTATAATCGTAAAATCGCCCATTAAAAAACACACACGGCTCGAGACAGAGACAGAGACGGAGACGGAGACAAACAACAAATTGCATTTCAATGTATGAATGTGTAAAAATACTCGGAACACAGCTGTCACCAAGAGTACTATTATTAATTATAAATTATTAATTATTAAATGTAATGGGACATTTGCTTGATGTTTGTGAATTGAACGATATAAATTGTTTGAAAATTGAGAATTGTTCGGCCGCATTACCGCTGCTTGGCACGGGCCATGCCCAAGCCCACCAAATAAAAAAGAAACAACAACCAAAAACACACGAAAAAAAAACCCAAAAAAAGAGATGCCCAAATTCAGCTTCAGCAAACAGCAAAAAAAAAAATAGAAAAATAAATGGACAAATTAAACCGAATAAGTACTGAATTTTTTTTTTTTTTTGGGTGGTGTACATTATTTATATAACAAAGAAATGGCATACAAATTAAATGGATATATGAAATATAAATTATATAAGAACGAGGTCATAGCGATGATTATTTGTAAAGGCAAACGAAACCAAAACCAAAAACAAACAAAAAAAACAAAATAATTAAATAACAAAGCAAAAAAACAACCGAAACGAAAAACCAAATAAATAAATGAAAGAATATATAATCATATGCGTGTATGCATAACAAAAGTATAAAACCAAAAATTGAGCATAATAAAGAGGAAATGGACAAAAAAAAAATTTAATAAATCAGTTGTATTTTATGATCCTGTAAATAGAAAACATACAAGAAGGATATCTCGGTGCATGTCCTATCCATTCTGCGCCCCCACATCCTGAATTGGCAGATCTCTCATCGATTTTTCTATGAAATATTCCCATGAACTCTTCCACCTTCCCCGAGCAATCCATGGAAAGCAATTCCCTGCCATCACAAACCCATAAACAACTGAAAGTGTGTGGGCGAATGTGCGAGAACACAGAAACAGTTCAAGTGCCTACTTTCGGCATGCCAAAGCACTCAACAGTGTGGCAGCTAACCCTTGGACTCCCCCCCTTAACTTTTGCGTCACTTAAATGTAATTTGTGGAACTTTTTGGCGCAGCCTTTTCCTCTTCTATATGTCTGTGTGTGTGTGTGTGAGTGCTTGTTGCTATTGTTGCACATTCAAGCGCCCACTTCAAGCCCTGCCTACTCCCCGTTCTCTCTCTGTGCTCCACAGCCTACTTCTGCTTGCAACATCGCCCTTCCGACCATCCTGCTCTCTGGCATTGATGTTGCATTTTAGCATTTCATCATTTGTGGCAAGCTTTTGCCTGCCTGCCTGCCTGCCTGCCTGCCAACCAAATCCATTTTTATACCCAGTGCTCGTCGAGGGAACCCTCGAGTACACATATCCGTTTAGATGTACGCCACCAGCAGGAGAAAAAACGAAGCACTTTCCTTCTGGAATAGCACTGGAATGGCTCCGAGCAAGTCCACCAATGGAATGGGGCATTTGGAATCTGATTTCGAATCTGATTAGGAAGTATCTGCTGGTCGGAGTGCTCCAGGTACTACACTCTCCCCACTCCCCACTTACCACTTGCCACCCGATGCATGAGAGGCTTTTAATGCGCCGCTTACCGCCCGTGTTGCACTTGGCTCGAGGCTGGAGAAGAGTTGGAGGAGAGTTGTTTGTTCTGCTGCTGCTGCTGTTGGCCACAGCGCCAGTCAGTTTATTCGTTATTTATTTCACTGACCCAGTTTCCGTGATTCCAGATTCCGGGGTCGGTCCAGTCAGGGTTTGAGGCCGCTCATACCAGGCCTTGAACAGAGACTCACCAGACTGACTGCCCGACTGACTTGTCTCTCTGTCACTCAGCAAACTTCACAGCTCAAACCAGATACTCGCATACAACATACAAAGAACAAAGAACAAACGCCGACAATGGATTGTGAGGCTTTGAAAGACATCACCAACTTGCAGACGGGTAACAAGAAGAGCCCCCTGATCACAGCAGACGCGGAGAACCTTCGCTCAGATGGCAGAGTACTTGAAGCTGCCAATTGCTTGCAGGTCCTTCGAGGATCCAACTGATGGGCAGGCGAAGGGGTGAGTACCCACCAGAGAAGTGGCTGGACTGTAGTGACTCAAAGATCTTCAACTCCTTCAACAGGTTGGCCAAGGCCAAGGCGATGGCGGAGGACCAGTCCGAGGAGCACCACTCCGATCCATGCCAAAGCGCCAACTCCCATCGCTGTGTCATTTGTTCTCGTTCCATCCCTAGTTGGGATTTTCATATATATTTTTGGAATGCCGCAGACTCACACCGAATACAGAAACACAACACAGAAGAGACACAATCGCAAACCAGGAAATACACCTAAACGGATTGAAGGTTTTGGTTTGGGATCTTCGAGACTCGAAACACTTCTTGATCTTCAGCGACTAATAAACAAATAAAACCAAAAGGCGAAGCTGAAAAGAATTGTATATGGGGTTGGTGGATGCAGACTGGGGGAGATGGGGGAGATGGATGTGGAATGGGATATATTTAATGAAGGGAATAATTTGGATTATTTTTACTTGGAAGGAGATAGCGAAGATTGGAAAGAAGACTCTCCGCAGCTAGCTCCCAGCCATTGGAAGTCCTTCTCGAAGGAATGTCCATTATTTATTTCCCTGGGGAAGCCCTGGGCAGGCCTTGAGTGGACCCTCACCACTGGACTGACAGTCTGTCTGTCACTCAACTCAACACTCTCCGAACGTACAATGAATCGGAATCAGATGCCCCAGCAGCTCAGCCCGCGTGTAGGCCTGGAGGTGCTCCTGGATGTGCAGAAATCGCAGCTGGTTCGTTATCGGGCCCAGCTGCCCACACGAGGGGAACTTAAAGTTGGAGACCCCAGTGATGCCCCTAGACGTGGATAGCTCACAGTTGTCCCAGGGGAAGGCCTTGAAACCAAATGCAAAACAAATTCCCTGATCTTCAATCTCACTCGCATTCCTGAATCTCATTGGATGCCCAATACAAAGCAGCAGAAAGGGCTCTGCCCCAGACCTTTCCCTTTATCCCTTTAAGATCCTTAGATTAAATTGATTAGACATCAACGACTTCCATGGCCCCTAGCAAGTACCCACAACCAAATTAAATACACAATTGATTTGAAAAAAAAATATTTATGGTATTTGTGTTAAATTAACCCTTTTTGATTTTCCATATTTCCATTTTTTATTTTGTTTTGTTGCCTTCAAAGTGAACCAAATCGCCCATATTCTCCCATCGTATTTACAAAGTTTTGGGTCCATTAGCAGTTCACCAGGCAGGTATACAACTCACAATACAGTTGAATAGATAGAGTACGTAAATAGTCGCTAGTTTAGATCTCTTAAATTACGTAGACAAATAAACGGAATTGAATTGGTTCAATCGGCTCTGAATTCATTTCAATGAGCGCTTTAATAATTTCCATTAACAGTATAAAAGCACGAATTAAAATTGATTGATGATACAAGAACGATCATCAATCGGCTTACCAAATATTAGTCATTCTGAACCTCCAATTTCGAAAATGATTTAATTTGGAAAATTTGCCCAATTCCAATTCGAATTGAATGATTTTTAATGAATTTGATCATTCATTTTTTATCCAGAATATTGACGTAGCAGCAGTAGATTCACATTTATACCACAACATCGCTCCAATGACAAGCCTTAAAATATTTAGCCGATTTGGTTTGCCCGATGCATTTTACTTAAAATTATTAAACACTCATATCGGCAGAATATTTCACAAATTGGCAATGGAGTGATGTCTGCCCATGCCCTCTGCTTGCCAATCGTCCATTCTGACTTTGAATTTTCCTGCAAAATTTAAATTCAAGGTACAAAAAACACAAATTTCTTGCATTGCGCTGTCATGCGCTCTTTTTAGCTATGGTCATTACTTTATATCAGTATATAAAAAAAAAAAAATGTGTATATGTTTATTATCGCTTTAAAAATCTAAAAGTTACACTATGCAACACAAGATCAAATGTGAAGTAGTGCCAGGAGTGCATCATGATTGCCGGATCTAAACGAGATTAAAAAGTTCTAACTATGCATACAATTCGTATTTTAATTCGGTTTAATTATGATTGACTTTTCGATTTCCAGGCAATGAAATCAAATTTGATCCCACAACTGTTTTTTGTGTATAATATTCCGTACATCATTTTTAAAATGCCTTCAGTAAGAAACAAGCAAAGAAAAAAACAAACCGATTTCACTTGTTCTGCACATATTAGAGTATAAATGTATTGTTTACCTTGCTGTTCTGATTTCCGACTACATTTCAAATGGATAACAATTCCAAAACCTTTTTAAAATGATCACCTCGCTTCCATTACATTTTATACGGATATTTTGCACAGCACGGATTCATAATCGGTTACGGATTCCATTCCATTTTGGTATACAAACACAATAAAATCTTTAAAATACAATATTTGTAAATTACTTCTATTATAGGAATCTATTTGACTCCGAACAGCCGGAGTTGCATTCCTTCTACGAGGTCGAGAATATTTAAGGGCTAGCTATGTGCGACCACTGGAAGGAATCATCTAAATATGTTGAAATATGTCAACTAAAAGTACTCGGCATATAAGATGGAATTTCAGTCAAGAGAACAATATCACTCAGTAACGGGAACTGGAAAGTGATTAAACGAGTTTATATCGATAATTGATCATGTACTTTAGGGCGGGTCAATTTGTTTGGGTAAAAAAAAACATGGTAAGCGTACAGCAGATTTAAAATTCTTCGAAGATTTCTAGAAATCTTTCATCAAGAAACTATGTGTCTAAAATGTATTCCAAGCCCCGCTAGAGCATGAAGATTTCAGGTTGAGGCACTTTAAGATATTTTACGGAATTTATGGTATTGAAAAATGGGCTCAATTCAGACTCAATTCTCATTTCAAGTGGGAGCAAAAAGTCTGCAACTTTTAAACGTAGTGCGGCATCGTTCTGAAATTTGAAATATATATATAAACATACTTAAAACTGTAGGGAAAATTTCGAAATTTTTTCCAAATTTTCCTTGGAGCTTTAAGCATATATATATAAATTTCAGAGCGATACCTCACTACGTGCCAGACTTTTGGCGCCCATTTTCAAAGATATTGTCACCCAATTTATTATAATCATGCACTGAGACAATTTCTAGCCACCTATTCAATTTAAAAACGATCGGATAATTATTAAAAAAAAATAGAATGACAAAATATATGTACATTAAAAAAATGTCTTTGGTTTTGGTACAAAATTGCATATCAATTTTCTTTGGCTCTATGTTTGCCCCATTGAATGGAATAATGCGATGGTCCTATTGGATAATTTGTATTGCATCAATTAAAATTGAAATCGAATCCATTTTTATGTTATAGGATTGTAAAATGTGCTAAAATCAGCCAGCCAGCAAATAGCTGTCAAGAGTTCTTTGCTTTGCGGTCTGCTCACTGACACTTTTTGTCTCTTTTGTCTCTGCGCTGCGTGTGTTTCATGTTTCATATTTTGGTTGTGCCGAGACACGAACTTGCCTCACAATAACAACTTAAAGAGACACATATATTTTGGCTTCTATCTAGTTATACAATTGAAGCGCGATTTTTGTGTTGGGCTTTTTATAGTAGAAAATCCTATGGTGCTCATTAGAAGCAAATCTCGTGTGGATTGTTTGGATTGTTTCTGTGTTGTTAATTGTGTGGAAGTAGATCGTAAAGCTGTGTCTTGAAGTCATGTTGCATAGTGTTGGATTTGGTTTGTCGCTAAGATGAATATTATGTATACTTTTGACAGTCGAAGGTCGAAGAATGGCAATTTGGTTATTGCTGCTCCTAATAATACTCCTAATACTGGTGCCTGGATAAGCCTTGGATAAGCATCTACTTGGATGCATTTATGAGGTGTGTGTGTGTGTGTATGTGTGTGTTTGTGTGTGTCAAGTGTGGGATTATATTAAAAGCTGGATATATCCTATCGGAAATCGGCTTGAATAGCTTCGTTTGCGCAGCATTCAACCTCTACATCTAGAGAGTTTTAAGCATGCTTGCCTTGGCGGCTGTGGCGCTGCTCGTGTACGTCTCGTAGCTGGCCGATGCTGCCGCTGCGGCTCCCACATGAAGCGGCGCATAGATCGAACTGCTGCTGGCAGCAGCAGCCACAGCCGCAGCCTCTGCCCCTGGCGGCGGCACTCCTTCCGACGCTGCTGATAATGGTGTTAGCGCTGAGGACTTGAGCGGATTGTAGCGCAGCTCCAGGGCCTCCGCAGAGGTTAGCTTGAATGTTTCAATCATCTGGGCGCGTACACGCTCCATGAGCGACTCAATGTCGTCCTTGGTCAGGCCCTCGGTGCTAACCGGCGGCAGTGTGGTGATAACGATCCGTCCAGCGTTGAGTATCTTCTTCTTGTCGTTGAGGAATGTGCAATAGGAGCTAAACACCACGGGCAGTATGGGTATCTGCTCCTCAATGGCCATGTGGAAGGCGCCCTTCTTGAATGGATGCAGCTCGCCGGTGTTGCGACGCGTCCCCTCTGGGAATACCCACAGCTTAATGCGCTGCTGCTTAATGCGTCGATTGACCGCATTCAGGGTCTCGCGCGCCTTCTCGCCCCGCACGCGATCGATGAATATGAGTCCGGCCAGCCAGGCGGCCAGGCCGAACGGCCAGGCATAGAATAGCTCCCGCTTGGCCACCACCGTGCATTTGTTCATCACATGCCAAATGTTAAACATTCCTGTGCGATTAGACCAAGAGAAATGATCATATTAGCATATATTTTTTCTCGATTCTCTTTCGATTTGGCTCGTCAATTACCCAGCACATCCAGCGAGCTCTGATGGTTGGCCACAATGATGCAGGCCTGGTCCTTGGCCAAATGCTCCTTGCCACGCAGCTCCCAGCGCAGCCCAATCAGCGCTGTCACGCGATGACACCAGGTGCTGGCCCATCTGCAAATGAAAAATCAATGGACATCGATCAATGGATCAGTAAATAAAAGGAAAACTATCAGCATACTGCGGTATTTAAATCATTTTCAGGGACCTGTTCCCCAAATGATCAGCGAATAGATATTCCCAGTGCGAGCATCTACAGATCCACAACTACAACCACATCTGAGCTATGCGTGAATTCTCACAGCAAATTGCTGAGATCGTCTCCCCTACGCATCGTTGATTGATGGAGCGTTGTGTCTATGAAGAGTATTGTATCGCATTGCAGGGTTTATGGTCTATGATTTGTTTTTGTTGTTTTTGTAATCATACTAACAAGCAGCCGGGCGTAGCAGGGCAATCAAAACGATGTATACTATATGCCATATATAGACATAGACATAGCCATAGCCCAGAGTGACGCGTTTAATGCCGCTTTATTGCACGTAATTTGAGGCTTGGAGTAGAATTAATTATACCCCAGACTACAGCAATTCCATTGTTGGATGCCGTTGGCCGGTGGCCGGTGGCCGGTGACCGGGTCCCACCCAAGCCAATCGATAAACTGCATTAAATAGTTGGTGGAACAAAAGGCATAATTGATACTACAAGTACGAGACGAGCAAGACCACAACGTCATCAAATATTCATGATATTTTTTTTCTCAATGCAAAGTGTCATTCGAGTCGAGTCGAGTTGAGTCGATTGAGTCGAGTGGTGGGGGAAATTAATACAAGTGCACTTGCCACCACAGGCCCAAAGGGGGGAAACACCGCAACGGGACGACCTCGGGGCCACCTTTTGCCATAGTTTGCCATTAGCGTGCAACAGTCGCCGCCAGTCCCCCAGTCCAGCACTGTGCCCCTTTTTTCCTGGCCACCCTGCTGCTCCACCGAAATGCGCATACACGTGTCAAATCGAAACACAAGCACCCCACCTTCACCCATATACGTAGCCAGCCAGCGCAGAAGGGCAAAGCACCAACTTTGTCCTTCGATTCGATTGACACCCAGGCGTTGGCGAGCATATTGCCAAAACAAAACAAAAAGCGATTAATAATGCCGGCTATACGGTAGTCCGATTGTAAAATACCCTTCGAATAGGGATAGGTTATGTCCATCCATCCATGCTGACATCAATCCATAGATCTTGCAGAAGAGTCTGTCTACGAATGTGTCCGTTCGCTTATGAGAAATTTGTATGTAAAGCGCGATTCAACGTCATTCTCAGCCTATTTCCCACACAAATGCCAATACAATATACACGTGCTCTGGACTATGTATAACAGACACTAAAACTAGACGGTTCGGTTTGTCCAGTGTGACCTTATTGGACAGCCAGATGGTCGCCAGCGATTAGCGCATTTCGGTCGCCACCTGCATTCCTAGCTTGTTAATATTGATGGGAAATTAATGTTGAATGTGTCATTGATGCCGAATGGTTGTGCCTTAATAATTGATTTAACATTGAAAACCCTAGGGCAGCTCCCAGTTAGTGGCTTACCCACAAAGACTGGTCAGCAAAGAACCCGAAGAGAAGGCCACAATCGAACCAGTTCAAAACCTTCCATATCTAAGTCTAAATATTAGCTTGATCAATGGGTTTGGCATGCATTTTTTTTCCCGTAAACTAAGTGCTTTATTAGCCAGCAATTTTTACCCCGTGAGAGCGTTCGAAACCCACTAGCCGAATGCATTATTCAACGGCAATTTTGTGTGTCCTGCCATTGAATACGTTAACCACTTTGAAAGATGTGGGGGCCAAGCAGCCTCTCCTCTGACATTCAGCCGCAACAGTCAGGGTAAATGCGTTAATAGATCGTATCTATGAGAAATATAGTGCAAGAATGATTTCCGCATTGCAGAAAGAGCATAGGAAAAATCACAAGTGCACTAAAGAACAAGTACAGAGTGGAATGTGGCATGTGGCATGTGGCATGATGGAATTCCAGTCATTGTAAGTCTACAGCAATTGGGTTCTCAATTTATACTAATTTCTTTCCCTTGTCAGCCAGTCTGCCACTGCCGCAAGTAACCCTTTGTCCTTTGTCCGTTCAAGAGGACGTTCCACTGTATAGAAAGTGGGCAATGCGAGTCTTAAGTGAATAGAAGAAGAATAATACTTACAGCAGATTGCGCACATCGCAGGGGCGTGTGAGGAAGGCTGGTATGAGCACGATCGAGTTGAATGACACGATGCCGTAGTAGATGAGGAATTTAAAATAATAGCGAAAAATGTGATTCGTCTCGTATAGGAAGGGCAACATCAGCAGCAGAAACAGTCCCAGCAGCTCGATGAATGAACTCATGGCGCGTATGGACCACACACCACCGGTTGCCGGATCGTGCCGGATTCAGATTCTTTTTTCTGGATCTGGATCTGGACTCCTTCTGCTTCGGTTCCTCATCCACCAATTCTCCTTCTCCGGTTAAGGCAGATTGCAGTCTTTTGTTTGGGGGAAAACTATCGGTCTTCTATCGCTATAAAAAAAAAAAGAACCGCTCAAGATTAGATCGGGGATCCTTTTCAATGACAGGGTGCATTGGTGGATTGGTTTGTACAGAATGGAGCAGGGGATAGAATGGAAAGCGATGGGAGGACACATCTGAGGATGGCCTGGCAGAAGATTGCAAACAAAGTCCCTCTGCAGCCAGCTCTCTCTCTATCTCTCACTCACATGAAGCCAATGAAATCTCCGAAATGCAGTGGGTAAAAACCGATTGCCATCTCGGACTGATTTGCCAGAGGTTCGTCAGGAAAGTTTTTGAGATTTTTGAAAAGTTGTCAACCCGAGAAGTTTGTACAACACTGTTTGGGTGCAAATACAAAGTGCGGGCAGTTCTGAAACTCCAATGACTCAAAATGAGGAGTTGCAGTTCTTCCAGCGCTGCTTCTCTTTGTTTAGTTGCACCCAAGGGTGGTGGTGGCGGTAGGTGGTGGACCTAAGGGCGGGGACGGCGTGCTGAGTGCATTTGTGGCGTACATTCTTGGGCCCAGCGCAGCATTATTAATATGAAAATTAGGGGGGAAATGGAATGCAGCAAACCACAACATACTGGCACGCGCGCACATGCAGGCATTGCTGTTGCAGCTGAGAAGCAGCAGCAGCCGGAAGCGAGAAGAAAAATCAATTTAAATTTGCGTCCAACGTTGCACAAAGAAAAACCAAAACAAAGCACAAAACAAGAAGCAAAGACTAGCTGAGTCAAGTAACGCGTCGTGCGATACCCTTTGCAAGAATATTTAAATTTTAGGCGCACGAAAATGCATCCAGCGTTCACTGCGTTGCAAACATGTTGACAAAATCATAATACTCTTTGGCCGCACGTATAAGAGCAGAAGACATCTGGCAGAAAAATCAACACAAGAGAGGGTTGGCAGATGCAATCAGAGAGAGAGAGAGCGAGAGAGAGAGCGGCCATTGACAATAGAAGGAGAGAGCCAAGGATAACAGAACAAAACGAAACAAAACCGTGGGCCTAAAAACGTAAACTTTTGCACATTCAATAACAAATGGGTACACAAATTTAGATGCCACTGCATACACTTATGTATTTATTTTAATGTCTTTGAATTGCTGCTACCGCTGCTAGGTATTACTTTGTGGCAGCATCGCGTCTGTGCTTTATAACTAAGTAAACCAATTTTAATATAATACAATTGACAGACAGACGGGAACGCTTCAATAGAAGCGCCAGACCATAGCAGAGTAACAACAACCACACGAGTGCGCGAATTGACGGCAAAGCAACAACAATAAGACAACCATTTTGTTGCAAGTATAACAAAAGGGATTACGTTTTTTTTGTTTTTTTTTTGCTGGGATGCGACAGCGACTACGTCGACGCCGCTTTGACGGACGACGGGCGCGCCGTTAAACCTGAAACACGAAACTGTTTTTGAGGCGAAAAATCCCGTTACCGGCGTTGGCGTCGGAAGTTCTGGGCAACTGACGACTACCCTCGAGGCGAGGTGGCTGGTCCACAAGATAACACGATATGCGGCGGCGATACCCACGACTTGCGCATAGGGGTCTGTGCTGTGACTTCGCCGCATGGGTTCGCACAGGACTCTTACCTTAGCTGTTACGACACCCTGGTCTTATGGCGGAAAATTTCAACTATCAATGTATCGCCATGAACTTCCAGATCCTTCTTTTTTGTTTGAATTTGTAGGATTTCCCGGGCATAGGAGCGAGGGAAGAAAAACCAGGGCTATCCGGCGATCAAACGTGACTTAACCCACTTAACACCCCTATTTAAAAAGTTTAGCACCCTTTGTTAAACCGCGGAAACTAATACTGTTTGTGAAGGCTCCTTGTAGCTCCATCCTCCTCTTTACTTACAAAACAAAAATGACCACCGACATCTTTCACCTGTAATGCGTAAAATATGTTAAAGTTACATAATTTTGTGGATATATTAAATACCCCCCTGGTCGACAATGGGATAGCGTTCCATTTTATTGATTGAAATCGTATTCCATAATTTTGATATTCAGTTTAATATTACTAGCTAGTTGGGCCTCTCAGCCATAAACAAATAATTTTATCCAATTCCTCAATAAATTGTGTTCCGGATTGTCGGGTATCGATTAGAATGACAGCCCTGGTTTTCGCTGGTTCGTGTCCATGCTCAAGAGTCAGTGTTGAGCGATAAGCGGTATTATAAGAAAATTTAAAATAATTACAAACAAAAAACCTACAGTGTAAATTTCAATTTTTATTTCAAACCATTCCTTTTAGAAATACTTACAAACAGGTACCGTAATCATTATAAGCTATAATTAAAAAATCACATAATAATTTTTTTATTTAGTTTTTGGGATATTCATTATTGATAATAATTATTTTTATTATAAATTATTATTAATGATTATCCATAATAATTATGTTTGAGCGAAAAAAATAAAACTCAAAAATATTGATTAAACTTTGAGTTTCATTTTTTCGCTCAAATAAGAAGCTCAAATTTAAATAATGAAAATATCATAGGGAGCTTACTAATTAAGTCAAACGGAACGCATTAAACATGTTTTTCAATTTAAAAAAATTTTATTTTTAGGAAAAATAATGTAAAATGTAAAACTTTAGGAAAATTGTAAAAATGTAAAAAAAATTGGAAAATAAATTTAAAAATTAAAAAAAAAAACCAAAAAAATGTATTTATTTCTTATTGACAAAAGCTGACTGATATGAAACGAAAAATTGTAATTGCTCGCTGACAAAAGCTGACTGATATGAAACGAAAAATTATAATTGCTCGCTGACAAAAGCTGATTGATATGAAACGAATAATTTTTAATTGCTCGCTGACAAAAGCTGGCGGATATGAAACGTAAAATTATAAATACTCTCTGACAAAAGCTGACTGATATGAAACGAAACATTTTAATTGCTCGCTGACAAAAGCTGACTGATATGAAACGAATAATTTTAATTGCTCGCTGACAAAAGCTGACGGATATGAAACGTAAAATTATAAATACTCTCTGACAAAATCTGACTGATATGAAACGAAAAATTGTAATTGCTCGCTGACAAAAGCTGATTGATATAAAACGAAAAATTGTAATTGCTCGCTGACAAAAGCTGACTGATATGAAACAAAAATTTTAATTGCTCGCTGACAAAAGCTGACTCGCTGACAAAAGCTGACGGATATGAAACGAAAATTGTAATTGCTCGCTGACAAAATCTGACTGATATGAAACGAAAAATTGTAATTGCTCGCTGACAAAAGCTGATTGATATGAAACGAAAAATTGTAATTGCTCGCTGACATAAGCTGACTTATATGAAACGAAAAATTATAATTGCTCGCTGACAAAGGCTGATTGATATGAAACGAAAAATTATAATTGCTCGCTGACAAAAGCTGATTGATATGAAACGAATAATTTTAATTGCTCGCTGACAAAAGCTGACGGATATGAAACGTAAAATTATAAATACTCGCTGACAAAAGCTGACTGATATGAAACGAAACATTTTAATTGCTCGCTGACAAAAGCTGACTGATATGAAACGAAAAATTATAAATCCTCGCTGACAAAAGCTTAAATTCTTGTCACAGTTTCAAGATTTCCTGCTAATCGCTCATTATTTATTCCCAGTAGTCTGAATTGCTCTTGACAACCTATCCACAATCCTGATTACGATCCCAATCACATTTGGCCTGCGGAAAGCGTTTCCCCCTGTGGGGGAAAAAACAGAAACAAAAATATTTTTGTTTACCTTCCATATATGATGACGCGTCCATTATCACCGATTGATCTTTACCGGGGGAGGGGCCTGGCTGGAGGTTAGCAGCCAGCTGCCCAGTCTGGATGGTACTAGGGTACTAACCCAAACCAAAATTCTATTATGAGATAATTTGCTAACTTTGTTAAAAAGCAGAGATGGCCTTACGGAAAGAGCATGCAGCGCGAGCGAGAGCAATAAATCCACCAGCTTGACTTTCTTCAACGACTCTCGACTGTAGGGTAATTGAAAACCCGTTGCTATGCCTACGCTTCGCACGCCACACACACACACACACGCTGTCTGTAACATATGACAGTGTGTGGGTAGGGTGCGAGCGATAAGCTAAAAACATAAAGTCGTGGAAACCGTTCTGTCGGCGCACATTTCACTTTGAGCGAGTCTTCGACGCAGACCCACAACAGCAAGCGACTAAAAAAGGGGCAGAACGAGACAAAGAGAGACAGAGAGAGAGAGAAGCACACACGCGAATATCAAGCACAAAGACGAAGCGCGCAACACGTGAAAACAGTGGAAGAGAACGAAACATCAGAAACAAATTGAATTTAATTCGAATTAGTCAAAAAATTAGAAGCAAGAAAGATGACAGCTACATCGAGTAAGTGTATCCATTGAAAGCCACAACGGTATCGCTCTATATATCCATCGATTCCACATAGTTGAGGGCTATAAGCTTGGCACGGTGCTGATCGAGGGGAAGACCAAGCAGGTGTACGATCTGCCCGAGCATCCCGGTCTTTGCCTGCTGCTGAGCAAGGATCGCATCACTGCCGGCGATGGTGTCAAGGCCCATGACTTGGCCGGCAAGGCGGGGATCTCGAATACCACCAACGGCCAGGTATTTCGGCTGCTCAACGAGGCTGGTGAGTGTCCCCGTACCCGTACCCGCTCCCACCCAACCACAACTTTGTGTTTGTGTGTGTGATTGTGTTTGTGGAACTTATGTGGAACATTCATTCAACATTCAACAGGTATACGCACTGCCTATGTGAAGCATTGCGGTGAGAAGGCCTTCATTGCCCGTAAATGCGAGATGATACCCATCGAGTGGGTAACCAGACGCCTGGCCACTGGATCGTTCCTCAAACGCAATGTTGGCGTACCGGAGGGCTACAGGTTAGTGGCATACATGCCGAGGTTATCGGCACCATCGATCCCATCCCGCCGCCTATCAGCCATCGTTGACGTTTGACGCTGCTGCTGCTGCTGCTGCTGCCGCCGCCGCCGCCTGCAGTAAACAAATTTAACTGCAATCGATGCATTGCAACGAGGTCAACGACTACCAACAACTGTCCCGATAAGCATCTATCTCCCATCGCATCACATTGATCCCCGCATCGCCGCGAATAACATTGCAAAAGTCATCGACGAGGCAAGACGAAAACCATTCCGCATGCAAATCGTTTCTAAGTTTCGTCAGAAGAATTTTGATTTCAAATCGAATGCAAAGAACATTTTCACACGATTTTCAAGTGCAATCAATATTAACCGATTTACCCATCATCGAATTATTTAGTTACTATATTCAATCTGATTGTCCGCTCATTCCGTAAATCCCAATCCGAACCTTTATTTTATTCGCTAGATTCTCACCGCCCAAACAGGAGACCTTCTTCAAGGACGACGCCAACCACGATCCCCAGTGGAGCGAGGAGCAGATAATCTCAGCCAAATTCGAACTTAATGGCCTCTCAATTGGTAAGCAGCACACTTCAGGCGAACCATCGCAATCGAATCACAAACGTAACTTATGCCTGAATACTTGAAATAGGCCAGGATGAGGTGGACATTATGCGACGAACGACTCTGCTGGTCTTTGAGATACTGGAGCGGGCCTGGCAGACAAAGAACTGTGCGCTGATCGACATGAAGGTGGAGTTTGGCATCGATGCCGATGGCAACATTGTGCTCGCCGACATTATAGACTCGGACTCGTGGCGCCTCTGGCCAGCGGGCGACAAGCGCCTGATGGTGGACAAGCAGGTGTACCGCAATCTCACATCGGTCACGTCCAGTGATCTCGACGCGGTGAAGCGCAACTTTATCTGGGTGTCGGAGCAGCTGGCGGATATTGTGCCGCGCAAGGACCATCTGGTTGTGGTGCTCATGGGCAGCGCCTCGGACACCTCGCACAGCGAGAAGATCGCCACCAGCTGCCGCTCCCTGGGCCTCAACGTGGAGCTGCGCGTCACCTCTGCCCACAAGGGACCGGAGGAGACGCTTCGCATCGTTCGCGAGTACGAGTCGGTGATGAACAACCTAATTTTTGTGGCGGTGGCCGGACGGTCCAATGGACTGGGACCTGTCTTATCGGGCAGCACCAACTATCCGGTGATCAACTGCCCGCCCGTCAAGTCTGACAACATGCAGGTGGATGTCTGGTCCAGCCTGAATCTGCCCTCGGGCCTTGGCTGTGCCACCGTGCTCTATCCGGAGACGGCGGCCCTTCATGCCGCCACCATTCTGGGCCTGGGCAACTTCATGATCTGGTCCAAGCTGCGCGTCAAGAGCCTCAATAACTTCATCACCCTCAAGAAGGCCGACAAGGAGCTGCGCGGCGTACGCAGTGCCTAAGTGAGCGGTCGAGCCGAGCGAGCTTCAACCACATTTCCACATCGTTTCCCGTTCGTTTTGCATTTCTTTTGAATCTTCTGCTTTTTTTTTTTCTTTGTATACCCTTTTCTTACTTTTCTAGTGTTAGGCATAGCATGACTCGAGCTAGGTATACCCTGTATAGTCGTAGGGCATCAAGAACTAATAAATAAAAATCACAAAAAATAATTATGAAAACTTGTTTACTTTTGGCCAGGAAGGGAAGTGGATCCAAGGGACTTTTTCTTCTGCCCGAATCTGAACGATTTGTTCAGTTTTCATTTAATGGAACTATGATCTATATTCTCCCGTATAATCAATAATCTATAGCCATTTCTGTCTGTCTCGTCAGTGCATGCCCAGACTCGTGTTTGGTGTCCATGCATTTGACTTTGCTCTTAATTGGATTTAATTTTCTCTGTGTTGATGATCCCAAGAATATTTATACCCAAGGATGCTGGGGTTGGATGGACTTTCCCTTTTCCTTTAAATTCAGCTCTAAAAGGGACGCAAAATACATAGTAAAATATGTGGAACGGGCAGTCCGTTCAAAGTACTCTACTAGGATATCTACTAGGATCCCCAGTATCAATCGAGTAATAAAACACACACACAGTTCAAAGGTTATAAATATTACATATTACACATACATATGTATACAATACATCAAATATACGAAAAGTATATAGCATTTATAAAATATTATCAATATGGTACAGTGCGCTTAGGCTAGACGAAGAGGAAGGATGGGGGAGCGATGAGGCTGACAAAAGTTGTGGTAGCAGCGACACAGATGCGAGAGAGAGAGAGAGGGGGGGAGGAGGATACATATGGGCTAGGCTAGGCGGTTCGATCGATCAATTCGAGATGAGTATATTTGGCTCGATGGAATGCAGGACATTGAATCCCTTGTGTAGAATGCAAGTGCGTTGGACGCCGCAGGCCACCAGAAAGTGCGAAAACTGTAAAATGGAAACGCATAAGGATATGGATACGGAAACGTAAAACGGAATAGGGTTTGATGGATGTAGTTTTGTGCTGCTCACCTCCACTGCATTTCTGATGAATGATGCTCACACAGACCACAATCCGTCCGCGCAGCTGCGCCTCCAGCTGTGGTACATTTAGCGCCTCCAGACGCTGCTCGCCCAGCTGCACCGTGGCGAACGGTATGTTGATGCTGTGCGGCACATGCACATGTCCGTAATCCACCACGCTGCGCAGATCGATGAGGGCCAGATCGGCGGGTGAATGGAGCAGCAGATGCTGCACATCTTTGGCACTAATGCGGGGACACTGCTCAAGCTGCAGATGCTTCAGCTCCACATCAGTCAGACCAATATCCTGCCAAAATATCAAAAAGGAAGAGTTTGGTCCGAAGCTCGTGAACAGAAACAGAGAACACACAAACCAGAGACTGGGGCGGCTGGGAGCGCAGGGCGTGCTGGCGGTGCGTTATGCTCTTTGGCGTCGCCTCGTACATCTTCTGTGACTCGATCACACAGGTCTCCATCACGATGTCGGGCAGATCGGAGAAGAGCAGTATGCATTCGTTGAAGCCCGAGTCGAGCAGCGTGCTCCTCAGCTGGCGCAGAATGGCGATGCCGATGAACAGCGGATACGAGCTATCGCCCAGCATCAGCTTGTCCCACAAGTGCAGGATCTTGTGCAGCGGAAACACATCTACAAAAGAATATATAGACAGTTAGGGGCTAGACCTGTCCCATGGCGGGGCGGGTGATGTGGGAGGAGAAACTCACGAGAGAACATGGTAAGGAACCAGGGAATGGCAAAGAGCTCCGGAATGAAACTGATGCTGGACAAATGCTGGGCAAGGAGCGGCTCATGGAAGGCTGTTAGCTGCGAGAACTTGCTCAGATACTCCTTGATGATGGCCGAGTTATCCTTGAGGAAGAACCAGTGCAAGTACTTCGGTATGAATCGGAAAAGGCTCAAAAAGGCCAACTCTGCAAGTGGCCAAAAAGCCAAAGGAAACAAAAAACGTATGATCCACAGCTTCGGCGTATCGCAGTATCCCCGCACTCACCCTCATCGTTGAAGTTCAGATAGAGAAATGGTGCCGTGAGCGAGTCCAGTCCCTGCCAGTAGACATACTGTGGATGGGCCGTCACCCAGGCCTTGAGCAGGCGCCGCAGCTTCCGGTGGCCGTCCGGCGACGACAACAGCTCATCGTACTGATGGCATCGCGGAATGTCCACCTCGATCTGCCTGTCCGTGGATGTGGGCGTGAACTTGTCAATCTTGCCATAGCCGCTGTTGGGCACCACCTCCAGCAGTGCCGCCCAGACGGCGCCACGCAGCAGCGGCGGAATATCGATGGCCGCCTCCCGCTGCAACAGCTCGGCCGTGTACGGATAGGCCTGCAGCAGGCGGGCGAACAGGCGCACGCGATGGAACTGGTACTCAATGTCGCGCTCTCGAATGACCAGCGGCAGTTGTTGCAGTTCGAGGACAAACTGCTGATGCTGGAACGAGAAGCGGGGCGAGTGGAGCAGCGGGAAGTAGACGCAGGCCGGCAGCTGGCTGAGACGCTGCAGCAGGGCCTGCAGCTTGAGGGGCACCACGCGATCGTCCATCAGGTGGGACTGGCTGCGGGTCGGACAGACGCTGGCTCCGTTCAGACGCACGATCTGTGGTAGGCCCAGGATGGGCGCCTCGCTGCGGATGAGGCCCTCCTTTTTGAGCTCCGCCTGGACATCCCCGCCGGCCAGCTGCCACAGGTGATAGATTTGCGACAGCGGACACCGCAGAAGCAGCGGCAGCGGCGGCAGATGGGACTCTGGCTGCTGTTTTGGACTCATCCTTTTTGGCCTTCTGCCGTTCCCGCTGTGCCTGCAGGATGCCCGCGAAGCATTTGTTGGCCAGCAGCTCCCTGGGCAGTGGTCGCTGGCCGGGACTGGCATGGAGACATTCCTCCAGCAGCTGACGCAGTCCAGCGTCCATGTTCTGGTAGATCTCGAAGCACTGATGCTCCCGTGCGATCTTCTCCAGCACATTGTTGCTCCTGCCGAATGAGAGTATTTTTCTGACTACATTGGAGATTTTCAGCTTTGGCCAGAGCTGCAGCCCCAGCACCAGCTCCGCCACAAGCATGGCCAGGGCCCACACATCGCTCTTGACGTTGCCATTGAGGCCAAGCAGTCGTTCCGGCGCCATGTAGCGGATGTTGCCAATGGGAAACGGCACATAGGCACCGCCTTTGGTCATAAAGTAGAGGCCGTAGTTGAAGAGCTTCAGTCGTCCGTCCGGTGCAATGAGAATGTTCTTTGGCTCCAGGTTGTGGGCCACCAGATAGTGCTGGCTGAGGACATTGATGCCGCAGGCCACCTGGTAAAAGATGCGCAAGATTTGTGCGAGACTGAGCGGGGGGTGTCGCTTCACATGCTCCTCCAGGGAGCAGCCCACGTACTCCGAAACGACAATGGTGCGTTCTGAAATGAAATGAATCTCCATACGAGTCAGAGGATTGTACACAACGTGGGTGTCGGGTCCTTTGGTTAGTTTTAGTTACCATGCTTGCCACGAATGACGTCCAGATACTGGCATAGGTGCTCATCCTGCACCTCCTTCAGCCGCTGGGCACGCCCCAGAATCGCTATCGAATTGGGTGTGAGCGGCAAGCCATTGCTGCCGCAGACATCGCCCGGATGCAGTTTCGCAAAGAAGGTGACGGCGCACAGGCGTGTCTCGGGTTTGATGGCCATTGATGGGGAGGGGGTGGGCGGATGGATGGCTGGCTGGCAGGCTGGCAGAAACCTAATTCCTTCCTTCCGCTCTCGCTCTTGCTCTCTTTCGGTATTGGTGGAATCAATTCTCAAGCAGGCAGCGGCAGCAACAATTATTGGAAACGGTGTCCGGTCCGCAGAGCGAACAGCTGTTTGGCGTTGCCACCCCAGGCATACGCCCCCTCCTTAAATAGCCGCCAATACTGTTATTTTAAAATATCAGTGGGAAATGTCTGACAGCTAACCAATTAATCGAGGAACTAATGCGTATTCATATACTTTTAAGAATTGGAACACAATTATAATATAAATGTATCAAAAATCCACGCAGCTGTAAAGAGCGATGGAGGCTACACCAAAATCCGCCCACAGCAAATAAATGTGTAAAATTCTGACTCATTGCGTGGGGGCCAAGGGCAGGCATTATTTTTTTAAACTAAAATCTATCAAATAAAAGCCACGCCACAGTCAATTTATTAATTTTTTGATAAATGCGAAATGCTTTTACCCATCTGGCCACTCTTCAGAGTGCACAACTGTGGACATTGCCCAGCACTGAGTTTCGTTTCGTTTACTGTTACAGTTGTTGTTGTTGTTGCGCTAATCCACTTGCGAATTAAGTTTTATTGCGCACTCGAAATTGTTTCCATATGTTTGCACCCAAGATGCCGCTCTCCAGCTATTAATTCTGACTAGTCAGGCTGAGTCGGTCGCCAGTAACGCCGAGCGGGCCCCCCTCTGAGGCTGTCGTTGCATTGATAACATTTGACAACGGCTTGGATTTGACCCAGAAAATATGTCGCTGCTGGTGGAATACACTGATCCGGAGTGGCGCGGTCTGAACATACGCGCCCTCGCCGTCGACCAGGCCTACATGTACCTGCAGTCGGAGTATGCGGAGCCCAGTTATCTCTATACGCTTTCCGACGAGTGCTATACAGTTGAGTATCATCCACTAATTTACGAGTATTGGATCGACCAATTTGGATCGGTTTCACTCTTGCATCGATGACAATTAATGAACTCGCCATTATCCCGATCTCCCCTCCTCTACCCTCACCCCAGTGCCCATACACCAAAGTGAAAGCGCTGCCCGCCGCTGGCAGCGGACAGCAGTTGGAGCCGTTACAGCTGAGCACGGCGTACGCTTTAAATTTCAAAATCTTTCAACACGATCAGGGTCGCTATGCCTACGAGAATGTGTGAGTACACACCACCATACATACAGTACGTGCATGTTTGTTCTTTTGGTTTGCATGTGTTGGCTTATAGCCGTTACAGCCTACTGGTAGGCAGCTAAGTAACTAGTGCCACTCTTCAGTGGGCGTTTAATCGAAATAACTTAATTATGTGAATAATTGTGGCACTTGAGGCAATTGGCAGCTATCAAAGCTGTTCTACACTTCAAATTTAATCAGATTCCCGCCCAACCCATAGCTCTTCACTCTGCTGGCTGCGCCGCACCGATCTGCAGGAGTTCGGAGTCTACAATCTGACGCTGCTGGCCAACGGCACCTGTGACTTTGCCGTGGACAAGCCGGGCGTGCCCATCAACTATGGTAAGTGCTCCTCTGTGCCCTCAATCCACTGATCCTTAAGCTATCTCTTTGCAGCATTCCTTTCCGTGTTCGTGCTGGTGGCCGCCATGCTAATCCTCTTGAAGTTGGGAAGCTGCGCCTGGCGTTGCTATCGCTACGATGAGGCTGATGCTGCGGCGGACAGCATTGGGGCCGCTGCCGCAAAGGCCACGCAGCGTAAGCGAATGCGAAGTCTGGACACGTTTCGCGGGTAACTGACGGCCTCCCCCCCTGCGTCTGAAGGGGCCTTCCACTGATAATAATACTGACCAGGTTTTGCGCTTCCACAGGCTGTCCATTGTTCTGATGATATTCGTGAATAGCGGGGGCGGCGGCTATGCGTGGATCGAGCATGCCGCCTGGAACGGGCTGCATCTCGCCGATCTGGTCTTCCCCTCCTTCCTGTGGATAATGGGCGTCTGCATACCGCTATCGGTCAAGGCGCAACTGTCGCGCGGCAACAGCAAGGCCCGCATCTGTCTGCGCATCCTCTGGCGCTCCATCAAACTCTTTGCCATCGGCCTCTGCCTCAACTCGATGAGCGGCCCCGCGCTGGAGCAACTGCGTCTCATGGGTGTGCTGCAGCGGTTCGGAATCGCCTTCCTTGTTGTTGGCATCCTGCACACCCTCTGCAGCCGTCGGGAGCAGGTCCAGCCACAGCGCGCCTGGCATCGGGCCATCTACGATGTCTGTCTGTTCAGCGGGGAGCTGGCCGTACTGCTCGCCCTGATCGCCGCTTACCTGGGCCTAACCTTCGGCCTGCCTGTGCCCGGCTGTCCGCGCGGCTATTTGGGGCCGGGCGGCAAGCACGATCTGGCTGCCCATCCGCACTGCATTGGCGGCGCCGCTGGCTATGTGGACCTGCAAGTCCTGGGCAATGCACACATCTACCAGCATCCCACGGCCAAGTATGTGTACGATTCCAGTGCCTTCGATCCGGAGGGCGTCTTTGGTGAGTCTCCAATCTCTTCAGAACCACCCACCACGTATCTAATTCCGTCTGTATTTCTGTGTCCCCCACCCCCACCGCAGGCTGTCTTCTGAGCATTGTCCAAGTACTTTTTGGCGCCTTTGCCGGTCTCACGCTGCTCGTCCATCCCACCTGGCAGAGCCGCATTCGACGCTGGCTGCTCCTCTCGATGCTCCTGGGCCTCGTGGGCGGCGCCCTGTGCGGTTTCTCCCGGGAGGGTGGCATCATACCCGTGAATAAGAACCTCTGGTCGCTCTCCTTTGTGCTTGTCACCGTCAGTGTGGCCCTTCTGCTGCTTGCGCTCCTCTACTACATCATCGATGTCCGTGACGGCTGGTGGTCTGGCTGGCCCTTCTCCGAATGCGGCATGAATGCCATCATCATGTACGTGGGCCATTCAGTGCTGCACAAGATGCTGCCCTGGCACTGGCGTCTCGGGGCCATGAACACCCACTTTGTGCTGCTGCTCGAGTGCACGTGGAACACTCTCCTCTGGATGGGCATTGCCCTCTACCTGGACGCACATGAATTTTACTACAGCTTGTAGCCCACACATTCGATTTTATAGCTCATTTTGTACCCAATAAAAATGTTTATCCATTTTGTCTGTCATTCTGCCAACAAGAATACAAAACAAGTTAAGAGTTTCGGTACCCCAAACGGCGCATAATGGTTGCGATTGCTTGGAGGTTAAACCATCCTTTTTCTGAATGAATCTGGGAACCGGAAAATATATATGTATAAATAAAACAATTGTGTGAATATTATTTTGGAAATGTTTTTTTTAAATTTTATTCCTAGGCTTAGAAAACATTCATTTGCCTTTTTAACGCTCTATTAATGGATGTTTCTTCTTTTTTGTTTTTTTTGTTGTATTTTGTATTTCGTTATTTCGAGGCGCATTCCTAAGGCTACATTTTTGTGAGTGGGGGGGGGTCGGGTGTGATTGCTTCTCCTCTCTCGATCGAGGATCGTGGGTGGATCCTCCTTTGCAGAGCTTTACATCTCTCTCTCTCTCTCTGTTCTCTCGACTACATACTACTAGGGCACTGTACTACTACTACTACATACACATCTGAACTACTACGAATATATATATATATATGTATATATCTATATTAAATGCCGTCTGTTTTCTCCAAAAATGATTGCAGCAAAACAAACACGAGAAACACACGCACTTTTCCATCCAAGGTACTAGCTACTGTCCAAAACGAGACAGCGCCTTCCCACACTCATGAATAACGGTATTTAACCTGTATCAGGCTGTGGAGGAGCAAGCGAGATGCCTATTTTGCGCGGCTTCGAATCAAATTAGACAAACAAAAATTAAAGGAAAACACCATAGACAGAGAGCGGTCTTAATCTTATTTACATAAACTAATCTCTAAATTAGGATTTTGCATATGAATATATTAAGGGGTTGCCGGGGGGCGGGAGCAGGAGTGGACTGAGTATTTATCTATAATTAGTTTGCCATCGAAAAGTACAAAAAAAATTAAATCAAAAAAAATTGAATGTGTCACAAAAAAAAACGTATTATTCTCGACTCAGCATCATCCATTCGTTCATCGTGTACTACAAAAATATTACTCGTTGGTAAAACATTTGATGCTGCTCTGCGTGAATCAACCGTATAAATCGTGTGCTGCATATGTACAAATGCTGTGGCGTCTCTCAATCTCTCAATAAATATATATAAATCGTTTCTCCGTCGCTTAAGATATGTAAAATATGAATAGGGGTTACAAAAAAAAATATATATATTATTAATATATTCGTATTAAATAGTTTTGTTTTGTTTTAAAGTAATAGATCAACAAGTTGGCCACCAAGTCCCTGTACCTCCCTGCCCACCCATTGGTTGGTTGGTTGGTTGGTTCCTCCGTCTCGCTCTCGTTCCTGGCCTGGGTGCTGCTCATTTAGATCTTTGCATTTGCGGAGGGTGGGGGGATTGCTGCCACAGCCGCCTGGCCAATAAATTTTGCCGGCTTGACGAGTATAAATTTGGGATTGGCTGCCGATACAGCCACAGTGGCGGTGGCAGTGGCGGTGGCATTGGCACCCTTCTTGGCCGGTGTTATGGTCACCGTGCTGGGGGCTATGGCATTCATGGCGGCCGTCTGATTGCTGGCAGCCAGCGAAGAGGCCGGCAGTATGGTGGTCACCCCGTTCTCATGCTGAATGGTGTTGGCATTGTTGAATATTGCACGAATCTTATTACTATTCCCCTGAGATCCTCCAACGACATTGATTTTCAGTGCAGCTCCAGCGACGATTTTATCTCCAGCGGCCACCACCACCTCGGGCGACTTCTGACGCTGCTGGACCATTCTGGCGCTAAACTCATTGCCGGCCAGCACAAGGTTCTGGGTCTGACCAGTTATGGGCAGGCCGCTGGCCAGTATCAGCTGCATGCCACCAGCCGTGGTGACGCCGCGCTGCTTCTGCTCGTCCGTGGGGGGACTGACGTTTGATTTGCGCTCGAGGACATGCTCATCGAAGCCCGAGTCCCAGGAGTTGTCGTTGAATTTGGTGGCCACCGACGACGAGGTCGAGCAGTTGGACGACGAGGATAGCGACGAGGGTGAAGCCGCGCCCACGGATGTGGTGGTCATGCCCGGATGCAGGCTCGCGGTGGCCATCGTGGAATGTGGCAGTGGCAGAGCCAGAGTCGTGGCTTCAGTCTTGTTCAGTGGAATGGGACTTATTCTATGGATATCGCCCTGTGGAAACGACTCCGATTGTCGCTTAAAGAACAAATGATGCTTCTTCATGGCCGGCATCGGATTTGTCACAATATTTTCTTGCTTTTGTGATGGAGCTTGAATCGAAACTGGGGCTGCAGCTGCAGCTGGAGCCCCATTTGGCTTGGCGGCTGTGGCGGCGGCTGCAGCGGCGGCTTCGGCTGCCATCTCCGCCTGCTGCCGCCTGAGGCGCTGGTGCTTCTCGCATGGCTTGTAAAGCATCGGATCGATGATATAGCAACACATGCCAAGAGTCAGACTCTGGAAGACGGTGCCGCAGCAGACCTCCAATCGTATCAGATCGCTCTCTTCGAAGAACGGCACATTGTCCACGGCCCGTCGATTCTTTTTGGGCGACAGCTGGCAGCGTCGCTTGCTGCCCGTGAGCTTTAGCCGCTTGCTGGTTTGCCCTTGCTCGGCCTGGGCTGCGGTCGCTGCTGCCGTGCGCTTTCTGGTCTGATAGGGAGCCGCCAGAATCGCTTTAGCACCCCCACCCGTAGTCGGTAACGGGCACTGGTAATTGCTCCTCGTCGTTGCTCTCGTTGGAGTCGCTCTGCTGGTGCTCGGAGGCGGGCGAGGAGCTGCTGGGACGTGGATGGCCCCTAGCTACTGGTTCCGCTGCTACTGCTCCTGGAACGGCTGTTATCTTGCCCTTGCGATTCTTCTTAAAGATCTTCGCAAACTTCTCGGGTATAAAAGAGCTGCCACTGGAGCCGCCGCTGCCTCCTGCGTCTCCAGCTTCTGCGTTCTCGCGCTTCTTCTGTTTGGCCATGGACTTGGTGCCGGGACCAGCTCGGGCATCCACCACCTGTCAAAGGAAACAGAGAATTAGTAAAACGAGTCTTTTCAGTGGTAGATTTTTATTCTCTTGGCACTTACATGACCCCAATGGCGCTTGCTGCCGACGGGCAGGCGCTTGAAGCGCTTCACAAGCAGCACGCACGCGTTGCAGATTTCGCCATTGCGCGGCTCCTGTAGGTTGAAGCACAGCACCGACTCCTTCTCGTATTTGCGGGAGGCCGTGAAGCGAGAGCTGCTCGACTTGGCCCGGCAGATGCAACAGCCGTCGGCGGAGCGGTAAACGCGTGGTTTATGGAAGCTGAACATTTTGTGTATTCCTTCGCTTAAGATATGCTTACAAAATGTGGATTTCCTTCTTCTCCCTCTCGTCGGTTGAATGCTTTTATTTGTATTGAAGTTTCTTTTTGTTAGCCTAGTCTCACTATTTTCACTTGTCTTTTAATGTTTTATGTGTGTGTGTGTGTCTGTCTGTGGGTGGATGGGTAGGTTGATTGTTTGTGCGTTCTTGCGCGCTTTTATATGTTAGTGTGTGTGTGTGTGTGTGTGTGTATCTGTGTGCGTCTGTTGCGTGCATTCACTGTAATTTTGTTAGTGTTATTTCTTGGCGACAATTGGATTTATACTGATTCGAAGCTCGTTCACAATCAACAGCCATTTCTTGCGATTAACTGTTGTTTGCTGCATTTGTGACCTTTTATCCTTCGTCGTCGTCGGCGTCGGGCGTTGCGATCTAAACAACAGAGTGAGAAAGAGAATTCAAGTTAGAAACGGTTAAAACATATGACCACACTGCAGTGTTGACTAACGTTTGCACACAGCCGACAGCTGGCAGCGTTTCTTTGCACTGCTCTGCCTGCGTCGCTTTATTACAACATAAACTGCAATTCCAATTCAAAATTAAATTCAACGCCGATCGAAAAATCTTTGTACAATGCTTCCGTTTCGAAAACCGGTTCAGCACGAAATGTCTTAAATGTCTTATCAACATTCAATAAGTAGTACATATATATTTGACGCAGTGTTAATTAAATTTAGCAAACATGTTTTCAACAGCAATAAGATCAATGGGAGTAAGCGGGTGAGATAGCTAAGCCACGCGCGCGCTCAAATACATACGCTAATGAACACACACACACGAATGTATTTATATATGTATATCTGAAGCGCAATTTTTTGTTGCCTGGCAATACCACTTATGTACGTGTGAGTGCAAGTTTTTGGGGACGCGCGCCGCATAAACAAAACACAGCGCGAAAAAGGGACACACGCACACACACACATACACAGTGGATTGAATTTAAAGCGCGCTCTCTCGTTGCGTTGCACTCGCAGCGAGTGACGTGACTTTTGATACGGCTGGCTGCTAGGCATACCCTCCCCTCCCCGCTGCCAACACTTCCACAGAGCCATTGATGTTGTTTTTGAAAATCTGATTTTCGTTTGGGTACAAAAGTGCGTGAGCGTCTATGTACGTGTACGTGTGTGCACCGGCTAAGCATATGTGTGCGTGCATAAGTTGAGCATTTTTTTTCATTGCTCAAACGCTTGAAATGAATGTTTGTATGTGTGTGTTTTTGGAAGGTGAAAATATGCATTAACAGGTTTCCAAACATTTTCTTGTTGCTATTATTAACACACATAGCTTGCCTGCGCCCCCCACTATCCGTGTGCACTCACTCTCGAGGAAAAAATGATTTACCTGACTTTAAAATGGCCTAAACTGATCGGCTTTCTGCTAAATGCGGCGACACTTATTTCATTACACAAAACACTTTAGTACTTTTCGATTTAGTGTGAATAGGATTCCGGCGACAGTGCGAAATATACAAAATATGCGCGGCGGTAAGAGCTCCGGCTAAAACGCGTCTGCACACAAGAAACACAAAGGCAAAGTGATGAAGAAGTGTGTGCGAGCGAGAGATTGGGCAGCGCAAAGAGAATGCAGTGATAACGCAAGCGAGCAGCTGAGCCGTGTCTCTCTCCGTCTCCCTTCCACTCGTGTGCAGTGCGTGGTCGTGTGTACGTGAGAATGCGCGTAGCTAAAATTCCGGTTGTATTTACAGCGATACAACAGATACAGATAGAGCAGGACAGCACCGGCCAGAAAGAGATACACAGAGAGAGAAGCGAAGCAAGAGAGCAGTAGAAACAACAATTTGCATAACATTCACTGTTCGGCGGGAGGCGTACGCAGAGTTGCCACCTGATAGATTCAAAATGTTAATTGAAAAATATGTCGTTCTTTTGTTAGGCTCCGCTGCTGTTCTGTTGTCGTTCTCCCCAGACTTTTGTGCCAGGCCAGCCATTGCTTTCGTTTTCATTGTTTCATTCTGCGGATTTGCATTGTTCCGATAAAGGCAAAACGTGCACCAAGCGAACGGGGAACGGGCAGAGCTGATAAAGCAATAACCGCAGCGCAGCTACATATATATGTGTTGGATGATTTTATGAAGCTTTCCCCCGCAGGTTTAAATATAGACCCCCCCTTGCAACACAACACCTACGCTGGGGCACAGTGGCAGTGTCATACGTGACAAACAAGACGTATACACATAGATCTCTAGCATATGTCAAATGTATGTAGGTTCAAGAACGGCTCTGGAGCGGTTCTGGAACGGTTACGACGCTGGCGGCCCCTGATGTAAGTCGAATTGGTGTAGTGGCAACGCTGTGCCCGCTGAGACAGCTGCGTTCGATGTAACCACTTTACAACACTGACCTCGTAATGTTGTCCGAGCTGCGAAAATGCTCTGCATTATTGCTGTTATTGAACTATGGGGCGAAAGTGGCCGTAACACACAGGTGTGTGTGCGTGTGTATGGATGTACTACGTGCCTTTCGGGGCACACGCACAACCGAAATTTAACAGAGAGGAGGCCAAAATCTAGGTCGTCGCTGCCCGCCTGGCGCTGGGATGCCAGCAAGTGGCCGCAAAATTGAAATCAAAACAAAATGCAAGACGCATACACATACACATAAGAAAACAGGCACACGGACTGGACTGGATTGCTACTCGGCTTTGGGCATTGCGAATAACAAACTGTACTTTGTGCAAAATTGAACGTGTAATTTAATTGAGTGGCGGAGCGGACGGGACTGGGACTCTCCCAAGAGAACATTGTGGGGGCGGGTCGTGAGAGAGACAGAGAGGAAAGCAAATGCTTGAAAGAAGTTTTGTTTTGTGTCTTTCACGCACTCGAAAACATATGTATACATATGTATATGTGCATACAAACACACGTACAGAGTGCTGGCAAACAAGGTCAACGCGTTTGTGTGGCACGCACTAAAATCAACTTTCCTACGTTTTTAGGCCTCCCCGCCGGCAGAAAGTGAAAGACAACTCGGGAGGTTGTCTTATTGGAATAATCTCATAAGAATGTGAAAACATCAGCAGCGGCGGCAGCATGAAACAGGTTGTCGGGGCGGGCGATTTAACAGTTATAACACATTTGTATGGACATATGTATGTACATGTACACAAAGAAGCATTTGCACCGGTAAATGGAGTGATATGATAGCGTAATACACAAAACTGAAACCGAACCGAACCGAAATTAAATAAGGAAAAAAGAAAGTCAATATCTGAACTTGGGTTTTATTTGATATTTGCCAATGTTTTGAATAACTATTATTTGCTACACTGGATCCCGGACGTGGCGGGGGGAAGCAGCGTAAGTGGAAGTGGGTTTGCAAGCAACAGACAGACAAGGAGAGAGAGAGACGGGCACTGTTAAGTAATAGATTACACTGAGCTCTCCGCTGTAAGTATGTGTGAGCGGGCGAGTGCAGGCTAGTGCAGAGAAAGCGCGCGCAAAACTAAACAAAGAATGGACAATGGAAAATGTTTTGTGCCACTTCTTTCGACCCTTTCGCTCGCATTTCCACACAATTACAATCGCCAACGAAATTGTTTGTTGGCTCGAGGCCGCCTCACATCGCCATTGAAAGAGTTCAAGAGGCAGGCGGCGGCAGATACATTTGATTATAGCCAAGTGAAGGTCAACCAGCAACACTCAATTTGTTGTTCAAATCGTAGCACACACGCACACAAACACAAGATTGGTTTTGTCTGCCTGTTGAAATGAAATGGCATCGCACAATATTCTGCATCGTTTTTTGGGAAGTGCGTTTACATATGTATGTATGTATGTATGCATGTGTGTGGTTGAGTATACTATAATTTGCATTTACCTGTTTATTCTCTTGTCGCAGCCTGAACCTGATGAACTTCTCACTTTTATGTATGCACTTTTTGACTTTATCAACGTTTGATGAATTTGGTTTTGGATTTTTTCGGCAAAACGCACGACGATACCGAGACGGATATTTGATACTAGAGGTGTCAAACCATCGGGGAGACGCGCGGCCCCGCGGGCGCACGGGGGCGTCGGCGGGGGCCGCCTGCCGCGGTGGCTCCACAAGCTAAGGCTGGTAATTTGGCCCTCTAGACGGAACGGGCCAACACATCGTGCAGCTCTATTTGATACTGCTAACGCGATGCTAGGGATGGGATGTACAATACATGTTGACATATCAATTTATCGATATATATAGGTGATATTTTTTGGTGCTGATGGATATTTTTGTGTGATATGTATATGTATCTCTCGGAACGACCCGATGATTAACGATTTTCACTAAAAAAATTTAATTAGAAAAATTTCGTTACAAAACTAAATCGAATCTGGGTTCAATTGTTATTTTCGAAATAAAGGTACTTATTTAAACTCCATATTCGTTCCGACTATCGCACAAAAATATCGAAAATTTTTTCAAATTCTCTGTGCACATCGATGCAACTTGCAATTGCGGGTATGTCGTCTAACGACTTGCAACAACAGAAAACTAGTGTAGATTTCCCCTGAACTCAGGTAGCTTACGAAATACACCACAAAAATAAATATATTCGCCAGTCTGAATTATATCAACTACAAATATATTATCGGCAAAAATATATATCGATTGATTGATATCTCAATATCAATATTTGACATCCCTAAGCAGCGCTGCCGCCGTACGACAACAAATACTTCGATCGCGGCGGCGGTATATTTGGATCTCGTGCTGTTGTGCGAAATGTCAGTAACTAGTTTCTGGTAAATCTCGCTGTAAATTCGACCGTTTTCTGTAAACAGTTTGGCAAGCGAGATTTTTTTTTGTGTGTGTGTCCCTTTTTTTTAACCTAGTGTTTACGACGCGCTTGAATTAGTACGCGATCGTTGTTATTTATTTGGATTTACTGTTTGTGCTGCCGCCGCCACCGCTGCCAGCGTCATCGTGTACGCCGCCGTCGCTGCCACTGCGCAGACGTTGGGCGGGATTTGTGGCAGGTATATCGTCCGAAAAACAAGCTGAAAGATATACCATTTTGTACTAAAACCCATCAAAAATGAAACGTGACTAGTTTATTTAATTGATGCATCAGCAGCAAAAGAGGCAACAATGCCTAGTGAATTTTTTATAGTTTTTTTTTTGTTTGTGGGCACACGATGACGTCGCCGCTGCGCCGCCGCCGTCGCATTTTGTTGTCTCTGGTGTACACTCGTGTGTGTGTGTGTGTTTGTTTGTATGTGTGTGTGAGGAGTGTGAGAGAGTGGGCGAGAGAGGAAAGGGCCGCCACAGTTGTTGCTGCGGGGAGCAACTGCGTGTAATTAGCATTCAATGTAATTATTATTAACCATTCAGAGAAATGGGGGTGCCATTGTGACGAAGAGGGAGAAGAGGGCAAAAGCCCCGCACAAAAAGTGTAAATGAGTGAATGGGAAAAGGAGCAACAGTCACAGTAACAATTGTCGGGTAATTGCTGATATTTCGTAATGCAAAAGAGCAGTGCAGGAACAGTTGCAGCAGCAGCAACAGTAATAGTACAGTGAAGATTCGTTAATATAGAGAAGTGAATTGCAGTGAAGACACAACAGATATGACACAATGAGAATTTGTACGAGTATGTGAATATTTAACTATTAATCCGCTATCGTTTTCAGTGGTCAAATTTGTTGTGTCTCCACTGAGCGACAGATTACTGTAGTTGTAGTAAAGCGCCGTTACATGCGCGTACATAGCCAGACGCGCACGTACTTATGTTTGTGTGTGTGTGTATGCAATGCAGTCGACCTGCATTGACATGTCCAAGTTGTAACTTATAAAAGGTGGGGAATGAAAAGAGCGTGCTCCAACCAAAGTTACCTATTTTGATTTAGTGCGTGCATTGCACTGCATATACATACATATACGGCAGCACAGAGAGAATGAGTCTTAATCACATATGCGGTTCAAAAGCGGGAAGGCGTCACCCGATATCAATGCACCATGGACTTGTCTATGCCTCTGCCTGTTTATTTTATTTTTTTCAAACCCACACATACCAATGCATACGCACTTGTGTGTGGTTTACTTCTTGCTCTCTATCTCTTTCTCTCTCTCTGCCTGTCTTTGATCTCTTGAAATGCAGCGGCAGCCGCTGCAACTGCGACGGAGGCTTGGTTTTGGTTTCCACCTGCAGAGCGACGGCGCGTCGCGACATAGCAGCGCTTTCGCTTGCTCTAGTGTGTTAGTGTTAGTGTTAGAGTTAGTGTATATATGTGTGGTGTGTGCGTGTGCAAGAGAGAGAATGTGACAGTGCCGTTACACATTTGTTTGCCCATAAACGAAAATCGAATTAAAACATTAAAATCGTTGCGTTTGCCCCTTCACTTCTCGATTCTCCCCTTCCAGCTCCACCCCCATTGAAAACAAGTGCAATATTAATTAAGTAATGACCGGTTGAGCACATGTACATATCGTATGTACATGCATACATAAATGCATATATAGAGTACATACAGATGCCCGGATAAATGACAAATGATGTTATAACAGCAAATAGCAAAAGCAACAGCAAATTCTCGCACATCTCCGGGTTTTACTGTACCTGAAATATGGACTGCGCAGCTCAACAACAACAGCGGCGGTCACAACCGCAACAACAACAACAAGAAGAAGCACCAGCAGAGGCAGAACAGCAGACACATGGACGAAGACGGCGGCGACAACAACATACACAAATACAGCCGTCGCAGCCACACATGTGGATTGTATTGAGCATTTTGACAATATTTTGGCCGCAGGTGAGTGAAAGAGTCGAAAGAAAAATAAAAGAGTGTTGTGAAACGTGTTTCGTGTGCGGGTGCAAAAGTTGAGTGAGGCTCGGCTCGGCTCCGGCTCGTCTCCTTACTCCCCACCAAAGATAACGGTTTAAAGTTCATGCCTATCAGCTGAGGGACCGACCCCCTATTTCATCTGTGGGTTTTTCCCGAAAATACTCGTATATTATTTTAATTGATAGTCAATATAGTAACTTTTAGCAGTCGTAAGCCATATTATTTAGCTGGTTTTTTGTTATTGCTGCTGCTCTATAAGATGTATTTTAGGAACTCGTCTAACTGGTCGTCGTAGTTTGCGCTGGCAGTTCTAGTAATTGAACACACAGCTCAGCTTAAAAAATCACAGCAAATCACAGAGACAAAAGACAGTCGCGGTGGAAAGCGTCAGATTGTACAACAGTTTTATGCAACAATTGTGAATAATCATCTTTCGATTTTGAGTGGCCGGGCGAACCTCAGGCCGCAAAAACCCCAACCAATTTATGAAACGGAAATGTCTCTTTTTATGATTGGAATATTTTTGCGTTTGCTTTTCAAGTTTTGCACAACTTCAAAGCAAACTATTTTAACTATTTTTCCGGTTCGAACTGGAGTTTTAGATCAAAGCAAGACACAAACGGCCCTCGGGATTGTAGAGTAATAGTCTGACTGGATGGGATATACGCGATCGAAGGGTGTCCAAGCTTCGTTCGCTTCCCACCATCCCCCATCTTCGGGCCTTTACCCTTTATTGAATTCTTTTATTATTATTTCGTTTACAAAACTCGTTTCGTTTCGTTTTGCATTGTTGTCGCATTGTTGAGCAAAAAAGAGGGGGAAAAAACAACAACCAAAGGCCCAATAAAACAAAAGCCAACGACAAGTACAAAAAGAAAAAAAAACAAAGCCAAAAAAAGAGCAAACGCAAGTAAAACTCAAGGTTGGTTCTGAAGCGCCTCTCCTGCACCTTTCTGATGATCCTCTTTCCTTTTTTTTTTTTGGGATTTTGGAGATTTTTCCTCTGATCTGATTTGCGCTTCGTTTAATAAAACTATTATTTTTTTTTGTGAGTGTTTATGTTGCGTGGAAATTCTTGAATAATTTCACGTCAGTGTGTCACGTGCGTCGAGCTGGTCGCCTTGATTTTTAGCTTTTGGCTTCAGCTTTTATCTGAACATTTTCTTGCGATTGCAGATCCGTGGGTCATTACGTGCCGGCTTATCGCTTGAACTTGACGCAAAGTATTTGTATTACTAACCGTCCAAAAGCAAAACAAAAAGACTTGCGATGACATCAGCGAAGCTGATCAGTTACCCCAAAAATATATGTGTCCCACAAGTACCACATGCGATCATGTATATATTTTCTAAAGGGTATTTTATGAACATAAATTACACACAAATCATGGGTTAACTATGGTTTTGGAAGGAGATCAAACAGACATTGCCGGCAATTAAGCTTCTCTCTCCAAACCCCAGTCGCATCTCCATTACCAGCCATAGAGAACTGTGTCAAGTGTTGGGGGCAAATTAACCCAAACAATCCCCTAAAATAGCGAACCGAAATAAACCATAAAATGAAGCGATTCCAGGGCACACTCTTAAATACTTCACTTGAATCTCTACCGTCTCTTTCTCTCGCTCTATCTCGATCTCCACTCTTTTTTAATGTTTATTTCGGTTGTTCATTTTGTTTATAAGTTGAAGAACAAAAAGAACTTAAAGAGCTCTTTAGGACTTCATTAATTGCATTCGGTTTGCTTTCGATTTCTGTCTCTCCTCCTATCCTCTCCTATTTCTGCTTCGGCTTCTGTTGGCTCCCTCCCGCCCTGCCCTCCTCCTGCTGCTTCTTGTGCTTCTGTTTTTGTGATCTTCTACGTTCTCTCCAATGTTTATGCGATGCCAAAGAAGGAGTGAAGGTGGAGATGGAGAAAAGATATTTACTGCTAATTGAAATGCAGGGCGCAAGTGCGCTGCTACCCCATCTTTCCATTCTCTTTCTCCCCTCGTGTTCTCTCTTTCTCTCTCTCTGTCTCTGTTTTGGGTGGAGTCTGTCGATCGCATTCCACATTCCACAAAACTGTACCTTCTCCTCGGATCGGATGGGATGGGATCGGATTCGGATCAGTGTAGGAAAAGAAGAAGAAGAAAGAGGATACAAAATGACAGTCAACTGTCGTCATTCCCTTTGGAAACAGTAGCA